AAACAATTGGCAAAGGAAGGTGGGAGGGGGGAAAAGGAAATAAAAAAAGTTCTTGTAGCAGACGAAGTTCTTGTAGCATCACGCACCAGCTCGAGTCTGCTCGAATGATCTCTGAATGTGCCAACCTGAACAACCAGGCGACATCAGGGCAGGGGCAGAGGAAGGCGGGGCAGGCTCAGTAAATGCCCTGTTTGATGACAACGCCATGCCCGATGGTCTCAGGGGGCCCCCCTCTTGCTGTTGCGCTAGCACTTGTAGTGGCAGAGAAAGTGTTCCTCTTGACATCAGGAGTCCTCTGGTTTCCCCCACAGCTGGTGTTCTCAGGGCCACAGGATGATACCTCTCCTCTGCTACAACCAGCTGCCAACCCTGTGGCTTAAGAGTCTCTGGCGTCTTGAGGGTGGAACCCGCCTCTCTGGCTTCCCTAGGTGCCTTTCAATTGAGTCATCTGCAGAGTAATATATCTTGACCAACCAGTCTGTTTCAGTCCAGGAGCACCGCTGGCATGCAGGGCAGCTGGATCCACAGCTGGGAGGACAGAGCAGGCACACAGCACAGTTGGACCCACCCACAAGCCAAGAGGGCAGAGGCAAACCCAAGCGGAACACTCCTGCAGCACAGCTTCACCTCCCTTAGTTCATTTAAAACGCCGGGTCAAAGCCTGAGTCAGAGTCAGTTCGGAAAAAGTTCAGAAGATTAATTAAATTGTTTAGAGTTACACGTCCTTGAAATAGGCTGGGCGGCGGCTGTTAAGCTGTTCGACTTCGTTAGATCTAATTTACAGCGCCAACATCACAAGTTCTCTGATATAAAACCCCAGGTTGCCAAACTTTTGATAAGAAGAGGGTTAAAAGATTAAAAAGTTAAAAGGAGTAGGAGCCCCCAACATCTAATTGAGGAGCTCTCAACTTGTGAATGAGCTGCCACACATTAAAGTTCTGCCTGGGGAGATAGGGAACCATGCCACCTCAGTGTTTTTCAAATGACTCTTCAGAGGCTTCATATGCCTCAGCAGTCACTCAGCGGGGCAAGCTGGGGCAGGATGCTCCACGGGGCCTGCGAGGAGTCTGCCTGCCTCCTCCCACTCAGCCCCCCTACAGCTGAGGAGGAGGCAACGGGCAGACTGTTGGGGGCAGTGCAGAACCTGCAGGCGCTCAAGCCACCACGTCACTCCCAGGAGAGGCACGTGGCTCGGGCGCACTGCTGGCCCCGCAGTGAGTGCCACACGCCATTTTGTCACACACACCCCTCAGTGGGGACACCCGGGGTGACCCGCCCCCCTTGCTACGTCCCTGATCAGGTGTGCCCTAAATGATTTACACTACACTGGCAGGCCTGAATGAGTCCGGAGGCTTCAAACTTGCTTTTTAAAATACTTCCTATAAAAACACTTGCAGTACTGGAGGCAGCTACTAGGTCTAGTATTTGTATGTTTTTGCATCTTCACACAGGAACCCACAAGGTCTTTTCCTCAAGCAAACAAAATTGCTGCTGCAAAGGAAACAACGTTGCAGGGCAGGCTAGATATTGGGAATCTTGTTTTAAGATATAGTACTTAAATGGAGGGATGGTTTCTTTCATGTTCTCTTTATGTTGCAGGAACATCATCTCCCAGCTTAAGATGTAATAAACGAGTTTCAAAGTATCACTCATAAGGGCCACAGCTCCATCCTGTGGCATCAGACTGCATCAACTTGCTTGAAGTGGTAACTCGTTCCAGAAATGTATCCAAACTAAAGCAGAAGCCAGCAGCACTCTTGAGATTCAAAAGGCTACAGGAACTTCCCTGCCTAGGATCTTCCTAATTATGGATTTTGCACATACTGTTGAGTTACAATTAAAGCTGCGAGGGGCTTATCCTCACCACCTCAAAATTCACCTTGCAGGTTGCCCGTTTCACTTTTCGCCTATATGGTAGGAATGGTACTTCAATTTCGCACTTTCTAGAGTAGAAAACATGAAGCACATAAGAAGTTTTTAAGAAGTTACTTGCAGCTCAGAGTATCACTCAACATGCAGACTGAACTTCTGCACAGGCAAAATAGAAATGAAACAAACCCCCTTGAGCCTGGCAAGCAGGAACATCAGGACCACGTGTCCTGGCTTGTCCACTGACCTGTTGCAGGTCAGCGATTCACAGAAGATGGTCATAATTGACCGTGAGCTGAAAACCATCAGCACTGATGTTGCCACTCTACAAGCGACCAGACTCACTTCAAATGGCTGCCTCCAAGAAAAGATCTGTTATAAGAAGCAAAAAAAGGAACAGAGAATTTTCACACAGGGAGTTCCCTCCTCATCCATTTAATCTTTATTGCCAACCATAAATCAGGTTGTTCACTCTGCCTTAGACACTTTAATGACCAATATCCCCTATTTTCTTGTTAAATACAAAAGGCAGTTCTTACAGATTTGTAAATTTTCACCAGCAGGCAGGGAAATCTCTCTAAGTTAGTTTTGCTTATCCCAAAAAATGCATAAGAAGAAGTGAGCACAGATATTCTTTATTCACAAAGGGTAAAGTTTAATTTTTGAAAACACATCCAGCCTCTTACTGCCTCCAAACACTGCTCTAGCACCTCAATATCTTCTCTTGATCAGGATGCCATTATGATACTGGCAGTTTTATCTTCACCCCTTTCCTAATGATCCCTAATATGGAATTCAACTTTTTCACAGCTGCGATACACTGGGTCAATATCAAACCTGGAGTCAGGGGAACCACTATCTATATCCCTCCATTGGGAGAACTGCCCATTTATTTCTACTTCCTACTTCATGTTTATTAACAGTTACTAATTCACAACAAGACCTCTCCTCCTATTCCATGGCTGGATCTAGACACATCAAAAAATGTTTCAGGAAAATGCATTGTAAAGCTCATACAGTGGTACCTTGAGTTACAGATGCTTCAGGTTACAGACTCCGCTAACCCAGAAATAGTACCTCGGGTTAAGAACTTTGCTTCAGGATGAGAACAGAAATCGTCTGGCGGCGGTGCAGTGGCAGCAGGAGGCCCCATTATCTAAAGTGGTGCTTCAGGTTAAGAACAGTTTCAGGTTAAGAACGGACCTCCAGAACGAATTAAGTTCTTAACCCGAGGTACCACTGTCATGGGAAACCACACTGCCAAAGGATCAAACTCTACAGTGTCATCTGGTGTCTCAGTGTTATGACACATTTAAAATGCTTTCCCCTCCCCCTTCCAATGTAGCTGAGACCCATGACTGCTAAACTTACTGAAGAACCTTTGGCATGGTGTGATTTACTCACTCACTAGGTGAGAAGTTGAATTGCAATGGAGATTGAAAAGAGTGCACATATTCAAGGAAAGAGTTTCATAAGGTAAATGGTTAGAATGATTTTTAAAAATCACACCCCAGAGCAGTGGCGTAAGCGTGGGTTGTCAGCACCCGGGGCAAGGCAAGTAATTTGCGCCCTCTAACCCGTGGATTTGCACCCCCTAACCTGTGGATTTGCCCTAACCCCAGATGTTGCGCCCAGTGCGGCCAGCCCCCCCTGCACCCCCCACGCTATGCCACTGCCCCAGAGTAAAATGGTTTTAAATGCTTTTTAATTCATTGATTATGAAACATTCTGGCTTTCATGATCCCCATTTCCAGCTGCAAATTTCATTTCAGTGCAGCAGTTGGAAAAATGAGAAAATCAGAGCATGGGTGCAACATAATTGATAGAACTTCACTGGTAATCCATCAGTCTATACACTGCACTATATACTGTTCATCAAGCGCAGGGGGAAAAACAGGTATGCCTTTAAAGAACAAAGTACAAGATGCAAACATGTAGATCTTTGAAGTTACAAAAAGTGGCTTCCCATAAGTTAGTTTGCGGTACAGTGGTACCTTGGGTTACATACGCTTCATGTTAAAGACTCCACTAACCCAAAAATAGTACCTCGGGTTAAGAACTTTGCTTCAGGATGAGAACAGAAATCGTACTCTGGCGGCGCGGCGGCAGCAGGAGGCCCCATTAGCTAAAGTGGTGCTTCAGGTTGAGAACAGTTTCAGGTTAAGAACGGACCTCCAGAACGAATTACGTTCTTAACCCGAGGTACCACTGTACATGTAAAGGAAAACTATTCACACCATTTCAGTCTTGAGAATATTACATGACAATCACCTCACATGATTGTGACGTCAGGTGATTGACAGTTGGGGAAGATAAGGTCCAAGCCTCCTGATCACATCCACTTCCCCACCACTGCTCTGCACTGACTGGCAGATGTTCTCCAGGGTTTCACAATGGGCTCTTTCCTGATCCCACCTGGAGATACTACAGGCAGAACATGGAGCCTCCTAGGTGTGAAGCAGGTGTTCTACCATGGAGGGCAGCATTCTAATACATGCACAAAACCTTCATTCCAACAAGTAGGGACTGATATCAGTGTATATTTCAAAAATTCTTTCCAATTGTGCTTAGTCTCAAGGTGCCAGTCTTTCAGTAACTGTGACATGTCAGGTTGCTTTCAGGATGCAGATTTAGTGTTTTGGAACACTTGAATGTAGAGCTGGTCTTCCAAACTGTTTTATGGGAAGTGAGGTGGCATTCAATTTAGTCATGGTAATTCATTTCAATAGATATACTCTGAATAAAACTTAGTTTAGTACGATCCAAATCATGTTTCCATATTGTCAATTCCACAGACGTTAGCAAAGAACTTGTCTCTACCTCACACTGCACTGCATAACAGAGTTTGGGAAGATCATAGGTCCTTTCTTCATGACTACAGTGGTACCTCGGTTGTCAAATACCTTTGTTGTCAAACAAATCAGCCCCTGAACGTCGCAAACCCGGAAGTGAGTGTTCTGGTTTGCGAACGTTTTTTGGAAGCCTAAGATCTGTCGTTGATTCCGTGGATTCCGATTGAGTGCAGGAAGCTCTTGCAGCCAATTGGAAGCCGCACCTTGGTTTTCGAATTGTTCCAGGAATCGAATGGATTCCGAGAATGGATTAAATTCGAGAACCAAGGTACCACTGTGAGGAGAAGTCACTTGAGTTATGTCTCAACACCTCCATTAAAAATGCATGGATATAAATAATGATAAGCAGTTCAAAAATATAGGGATTTCTTTCCAAGGTGATTTTTTTTTGTAGTTTTTGTAGTTGTTGTTGTCGTCATCATCATAGACATAGACTGATTGTGCTGATTTCTTGAAGGACTATTTCAGGATCACAAACTCACTGATAATTCTGCATAAACTCAACTATCTCTTTATACATGCGCTGTGGGGCATCAAAGCCCAAGATGAAATCCAGGTGTGCCCAGTCAGGAATAAACTTGTGGTAAACTAGATTTGAGACCTGAGGCAGCAGCAGTGCAAAATCGTTTGGAGATGAAGCCCAGTCGTTTCCACCATTCCAGAGAGCTGTTGGAATAGTCATTTGTTTAATATCATAGGAAGGTGCTGTTTCCTAAAAGAGAGGGGGAAATAACAGCTTAAAAAATACTTTATAAGTTAGGACTCTGCAAAAAAATTCCTGATCAAAACAAATGTGCACATGCTCACGCGCGCGCACACAGAAACACATATATATTGTCTCCCTGCTTATTTAACTTATATGCAGAATTCATCATGCGAAAGGCTGGACTGGATGAATCCCTAGCTGGAATTAAGATTGCCAGAAGAAATATCAACAACCTCAGATATGCTGATGACACAACCTTGATAGCAGAAAGTGAGGAGGAATTAAAGAACCTTTTAATGAGGGTGAAACAGAAGAGCGCAAAATATGGTCTGAAGCTCAACATCAAAATCAAAGACCATGGCCACTGGTCCCATCAAATAGAAGGGGAAGAAATGGAGGCAGTAAGAGATTTTACTTTCTTGGGCTCCATGATCACTGCAGATGGTGACAGCAGTCATGATATTAAAAGACGCTTGCTTCTTGGGAGAAAAGCAATGACAAACCTAGACAGCATCTTAAAAAGCAGAGACATCACCTTGCCAACAAAGGTCCATATAATTATGGTGCTGGAGGAGATTCTGGAGAGTTCCATGGACTGCAAGAAGATCAAACCTATCCATTCTGAAGGAAATTAGCCCTGAGTGCTCACTGGAAGGAAGATCCTGAAGCTGAGGCTCCAATACTTTGGCCACCTCATGAGAGGAGAAGACTCCCTGGAAAAGACCCTGATGTTTGGAAAGATTGAGGGCACAAGAAGAAGGGGACGACAGAGGACGAGATGGTTGGACAGTGCGGGAGACAGTAGAAGACAGGAGTGCCTGACGTGCTCTGGTCCACGGGGTCACGAAGAGTCAGACACGACTAAATGACTAAACAACAACAACAAATATAAAGGGGAATATAAATTGAGCACTTAAAGTGCATAACAACTGGACATTGTGCAGATTTAAGATGCATTGTGGAGAATAAGCACATCATCCATGAAAAGGAACTTGTTCACATTTCCTGGTAAATATACACGGTTTCCAACAGGCTTTGAACAATGTGCATATATTGACTATCCTTTGTACATTCTCTGGCCATTTTGCATAATCTCAATCAGATTTTGTGGAATGTGCTGCATTTTGTGCATTCTGAGGAAATTCCCATATTAAATCTGAGAGATACATATACATTTGATACAGAAATAAGCTATTTTCAAAGGAATCTGGAGAGCACTCCCTATAGTAAATATGTACAGTGGTACCTCAGGTTACATACGCTTCAGGTTACATATGCTTCAGGTTACAGACTCCACTAACCCAGAAATAGTGCTTCAGGTTAAGAATTTTGCTTCAGGATGAGAACAGAAATCGTGCTCCTGCGGCACAGCGGCAGCAGGAGGCCCCATTAGCTAAAGTGGTGCTTCAGGTTAAGAACAGTTTCAGGTTAAGAACCGACCTCCGGAATGAATTAAGTACTTAACCTGAGGTACTACTGTATCTTATCTAAGAGATATTTTGGCACATCCTAAAGTAAATCCAAAACCTCTTTAACACCATAGAAATAGTGCTTCAGGTTAAGAAGAGCAACATGATGCTAAATCTAATATTTTCATGCTTTAAGAACATACACACTTCAGAGAAACAATTATAGACACAATTTAAAAGGAAGGCAGACACATGGATCTATAGATTAAGTACAGTAGCACCTGGTGGACTTAAGAAGGACATAAATGGATATCTGTTATGTAACAAATTGAAGATGTACTTTTGTTGGAAATTATACCACATTTCTTGCCATTCCAGTTATTTCATGACTTTAATATATGTGTCTGTGGAATATTGCTTATTGCCATCACTCTATTTACACAATGCAGCAATGCAGCTTCATTTTCTGGTGAATGGAGCCCACTGTGCGAGGCCAGCCCTTGTCCCCAGAGCCAAGTGGGGCCACACTGTGCCTCCTGCTGCTTGTCTGCACAGTGGGGAGCATGGCCGGCCAACATGGCTGTTAACAGTTTGAGGTTGAATCCTGACAAGACAGAAGTACTGTTTTGGGGGGACAGGAGATGGGCGGGTGTGGAGGACTCCCTGGTCCTGAGTGGGGTAACTGTTCCCCTGAAGGACCAGGTGCGCAGCCTGGGAGTCATTCTGAACTCACAGCTGTCCATGGAGGCGCAGGTGAATTCTGTGTCCAGGGCAGCTGTTTACCAGCTCCATCTAGTATGCAGGCTGAGACCCTACCTGCCCGCAGACTGTCTCACCAGAGTGGTGCATGCTCTACTTATCTCTCACTTGGACTGCTGCAATGCTCTCTATGTGGGGCTACCTTTGAAGGTGACCCGGAAACTACAACTAATCCAGAATGCAGCAGCTAGACTGGTGACTCGGAGCGGTCGCCGAGACCATATAACACTGGTCTTGAAAGACCTACATTGGCTCTCAGTACGTAAGCCAGACAGAGTGGCTGGGGAAACTGCCAGATGGGTGGGGTGTAAATCATTATCATTATCATTATCATTATCATTATCATTATCATTATCATTATCATTATCATCATTACATTTTGTGTATATAAAGCCTGGTTATAAACGTCATGTAAGATTATGACCTTTAACTATTTTGTTTCATATTGCAGCTACATTTTATCCACCATGTATTATATGAACAGCAGCCTTTGCCCTCAGTAGCTATTGCCACACCTTACCAACGTCTACCATCATATAAAGAGAGGAGGGAGGGAGGGGGAGGAAAAAGAGGGGGAAAGAGATGCAATTAGTGAAAAATTCTTACCTGGTTGTGGTGAGCCATGTTCTCTTCCTTGCTACCCCAGTCAAAACCTTTGAACTCCTTACTCCTCCTATTCTGAAAAAAGAAGTGTACCATATTTTGAAAAAACTAAATGGGGAAATTATTATTATTGCTGTTAATTATTAACCAATAAATACCTGAGGATCATAGTGCAGTTTACTATATAAAAACACAAAAGCACATAACATAATAACAAAACAATACGCACAGACACAACAGGCACGGCAGGTTGTGAGGAACATAGAAGAGAAGAAAAAGTTTTTACCATCTGCTTTTTATTCAATATTTACAGAGAGAGGCTTGGAACACAGCCTCTTGGGATAATGGCATTGTCTGGAGTGACTCTCCACTCCCCCTTTTCTCATTTGTCATTGTCATCATCTCCCTACGGGTGCCACGGAGGGCCCTCTGTTTCTGAGTTCCTTGCTCTACTACCTTCAAGGCTCGCTGGGTTCTGGGAGAGAGGGGGTCTGGAATACTTTCTAAACACATTGTGTCCGTCAGCTGTCCTCCCTCTGGTGCTTCCTCTCCCCCTCCACGTCTCCCACCATTTCCCAGCTTTCCCCCTCATCTGCCTCTGAGCTGTGACCTCCCTCAAACCCTGTTGTAATTCTGAACTGTCTTCTTCTTCTCTGGAAGGGTCAGGCTGGGGAGGAGGTCACTGGGGAGAAGGCCATAGGTTGTCTAATTAGCCAAAGGCCAGGGAGAAGAGGAATGTTTTTGCTCAGTGCCTAAAAAAATATAATGAAGGGGCTAGGTGAGCCTCCCTGGGGAAAGCATTCCCAAATGGGAAGCTATTGGGAAACTGGCCAGTTCCTATGTGGCCATCCTCCAAATCTTTCATGGAAGATTAAATTTATGGGGACTTAAGTAAGTCAAAATATATACCAGGGACCAGGAACTTCCACGCCACAAGACAATCTTATTCTGCCAGGGGATCCAGTTTGGCCCAAACACTTCTCCCAAAGTCTCCCACCTACTATCCAGCTGAGATTGCCGCTGAAGCCAGCTGGGTGGCTGGGTGTGTGTGTGTGTGGGTGGGTGGGTGGGTGGGTGTGGGTGTAAATTCTACTCAGTTTGCCAGAATTCCATGCAAATCCCTTCCCAATTCAGAAAGGAGTTTCTCTTAAAAGACTTGTTAAAACAGATCAGCAAGAGGTCTGCATCAGAATCTCCAGGGAAAATAAAGAGGAGGGATCAGTTTCATCTGCACCTTGCAACACACTTTGAAATCCTCCATTGCTACAACAGGTAATTGACAGGTAGGCGGCCCCACCCTGCTTTTAAATGTGACCTATGAAACTAATCCTGATAAAAAAACTCCTGTGCTATCAAAAAGATTCCCCAACCCTGATTAGTTTTTGCAAGGCCATGAAGAAATTACCAGCAACTACATTCAACACCAGGTGCTCCCAGATCATGGCACTTCTTGGCCAGCCTTCTGCTACTGACACACAGCCTTCACTGGCCTAGAACCCTCCAGATGTTCTGGACTACAATTCTCATCAACCCCAGCCAGTGTGGCCTGGCTGATGGGAGTTGTCATCTAAGCAAGTTGGCACTACCAACACCTGAGGATTTAGGTGCTACCTGACTCCAGTGAAGCACGTTCTGCACAGATGTCCCAGCTGGGCAGTGTGATAAATATACATTGATTCGAGTCTGAAAGAAAGAACAAAGTGACTAGCTGAATTTATCTCAAAGTGTAACAGCCATTTCAATTTCATTTGGTTTGTTTGAACAAAACAAGTGCACTCTAGTGCTCAACATCTGGATATCATGCAGGAATCAGTGTTTAAGTAGCAATTACATGCCAGTTTTGGAGATCAACTTGACACTTCAAACTAGCTGCAAATGCCAATATTGTGTTACCAAACAAGAGGGAAATTCGCTTACAGCAAAGCATTGCCCCACAACATAAATACATTTCTACTAATACTGCAATCCTATGCACATTTACTAAGAAGTAAATTGTACTGTGTTCAACCAGGTTACACCCAGGTAACTATGCACAGGATTACAGCCCCAGTTATAATATTTTTCTTTATATAGTACAACCAGGGCAATTACAGACATATCAAATAACATCCATTTGTGCAGTGGGCCATACCATTGTGTACATTCCTCCTGTAGGACATGAACTCACTCCACCCTGCTTTGTTGCCATGTCCGGTTGTGTTACCAACCATAATTAAGGGCCACTCCTAGACTCTTATCAGGAACTATGAACTGAAACTCAGTATTGCTCTTAACTATGGTCCTATTTCATCATGGTGGCAAGGAAGACACAGCCTTCTTGTGACCCATAAGGCATTACCTGCATTCTGTTTTGGGGAAGTGGACCCCTGTAGGGGGAATTGCACAAGGGCCCCCAAGCACCTTAGCTAGGCCTTGGTGCACACCATGACTTCTCACCTCTTCACATGTTTCTTGGGCTGATGTACAGCATCTTTCAATGCACACAAATATTAAGTTCCAGTTTACAAGTATCTGTACACAAAGCCATATTGGTTCATTTTGTTCTTATTTTTGCTCTTATTTCTATTGTGTATTTAAAATTTGTTATATTGTATTGTCTCAAGGAATGTGGCAGCTGTGCCCTCTTAAGGTTTCTGCCTTAATGCTACCAGACAATAATTTTCCAACAACAACAACAATAATAATAATAATAGCTCTGTCCATTTGGACACCTCTGAAGATATTTCACCCCATTCTGCAAGTCTTTTTTAAATTTGAGGTGACAATTTCAACCTTCACCAACTTGGACATCTCTGAAGATATCATTGCCCAAAATGTGGGACAGCTCCAACCAATCAGGTTGCCTTTCAATATATCATCGCCAAACTTGGTACGAGGACTCCTGAGGTGGATATATTAGTCTTCAACTATGTTTGCATGCAGGGCACCATTTTGAATCAATATGGTAGACCAATTTAACTCAAATTAAACACTTAAATTTAAGTGGCAGTCCTGGGTTGGTTTTTGTGTGCGCGCGCAGCCCAAAATATCACAAATTACACTATCCACTAGTGCTCAATGAAGTAGTCATCTGGGATCCACTTCTCTAGGGGTAATTAAGATATGGATGTTATAAGCAGCAACTATTTCAAAGAAGCCTCCACATACTTTTCTTTAGATCACACTCTTTACCTCCTATTATGTAGTTAGAAATCTTACCAGATTCATGTTTTTCGCATTAAAGCCCATCCCTAGGAAGAAAAAACTGGCACAAACATGATCAAGTAAGAAACGATTACACAGGTTAGTAGCAAACCATTTAAAAGTTTTGCTTTGAGCAGCACACTGCTTGGTTCCAAATATTACCTGTCAAAACAAAAACATTAGTACACAGGTCATTTTGTTAGTCAAGACTGCTTCCCTAGAGATACTTCCAGCAATATCGGGCAGCAAGAAAATATCACAAACAGTATTATGAGAATCTTCTACTCAGATTGTTAGGCTAGAATGCCCATTCAACAATCCATGGCCATAATAATAATAATAGCAATAATTCAAATCCCACATGCATAGTCAAACAAAAGGACCTTCTGCTATATTCAAGACATGGACATTGTAATTTCAGCCATCGAAGAGACAGGATGACACAGTTAAAGTGCATCTTGAGATGTATGCAATGTGCAACTGGCACCCTTGCAATGTGGTTCAGGAACATCATTTCAGTAGGAGCCCAAATATGCAAAAGACTTGCTGTTATGCAAACATAGCCACAAATAGACAATAGCCAAATAGTTGTGCTGTGCTTGAAATCACTTAATTTAGGGTTGCCATACATCCAGACATATCCAAAATACCACATTCAGAAGTAGTGCCCAGATGTTGGGCAAAAAAGCTCAACAATTTGAAATATGGCAATCCTACTTAATTCCCTAGTAATTTCAGCAAATGACGCCTTCTCTATTGTCTACATGGTAACATAAGGGAGAATGATTTTACTGCCTTGTCTTCTGACTTCTCCAGGTTGAGAATACAAGGAGTGGCTGTTCCTACAATCTGAAAAGGGCACTTCAATCTGCTTTTGTCTAGGGTAGAAGTAATGTAGCATAGAAGCCAAGGGTGAGCTATGAATCATAAAGCTCCCAAGGTAATCAAATATCCCCTAGCCACAGTCAGTATGGGGCTTTAGACAATCCACAATCTCTCGTTCCCAATCCTCCCACCAGCCAGACTCTAATCTGGGAACAAAACTGATCATGTTACAATGTTGTTGTATGAATTACTGAGCTAAAAGTGGGTGAGGGGGACATTTGGCCAACACAGAAGTCCCCAAAAGCCTCCAACACAATCAGCAAATGTATCTGAGCCCAGAAAATGGGGTCATGTGCCTGTAACTGCCCACCACACTGTGATCATCCCAAGTTATTTCTCAGTAGATTGGTTTGGCTCTCTTGTCCTATAGTCATACATTGTTTAATACTTAAAATAAACCAATAATGTAATAAATACACGCTCCTATAACTGTTCAGCATTATTGCTTTAAAGGCAGCTGAGTTACGCACAGGTGTAATCTGCCATCATACTATCAAATCTTCATGGAACTTCTATATATACAGTTTTCCCCATCAGTGGGAGCTGCAAGTTTGTACCAAGTCCTTTCATTTGGGCTCTTGAGGATTGTTCGCACACCAGCACCTCTTTCTTTCCTGCCCGCAGCAGGTGTTTTGTGCTGGCACCCATGCTACTTACAGCAAGATAGAAAAATGGGCATTCCAATTTTTACAGATCAGCTTAGACTGAGCAACACCCTGATACCAAATTTCAGCATTCGCCAGCTTGAACAGTTTAGGTGTCTATGAGAATGACAAATGGCCTCAGGTCAAATGATGGATACATTCCCAAGTTCTTAGCTACAGCCAAAGATATTTGCACCCTCTATTTTCAACAAATATTTGGTCCAAAATGCATACTTTGACCAAGGATTCAGGCATGTGAGTGATCACAGCTGATATTGGGCTGATAGAATAAACTGTGTTGACCGATGGTGCCAATCCAAAGAACATTTTTATCTTCTGGGCGAGCTGTGGCATGGTTGAAAATGCAATGAATGCTAAGAAACAAGATGGGAAATAGAAATAGAAGATAAATGAATATAGCAAGCACTACTGACTTGATCACAATACAAGAAAAAATCTTAGCCTTTTCTCATAACACAAAAGCAATAAATACAGTCAATCCTCAGTTCCCGAATGGCTCTGTTTTGGAACATTTCGGCTCCCAAACACCGAAAACCCAGAAATAAATGTTCCAGTTTTTGTACATTTTTCGGAAGCCAAATGTCAGACGCGGCTTCCGCTTGAGTGCAGGAAGCTCCTGCAACCAATCAGAAGTCACTCCCCAGTGTCAAACGTTTCGGAAGCTGAATGGATTACATTTGACAACCGAGGTTTGACTGTATACATTATTGTAAGACCTGTGAGGAATGGCTTATGGTCACATGCTTCTAGTCAAATGAAATATTGGAAAGTTACAGACTCCATTAACCCAGAAATAGTACCTCGGGTTAAGAACTTTGCTTCAGGATGAGAACACAAATCACACAGCAGCAGTGGGAGGCCCCATTAGCTAAAGTGGTACCTCAGGTTAAGAACAGTTTCAGGTTAAGTACAGACCTCCAGAATGAATTAAGTTCTTAACCCGAGGCACCACTGTATTATATTCCATACATTTCTTTCTCTAAGTCCATAGCAGCTTTGAAACATTTCTTTTATGGGAAATGTTACTAAGGGGAAAATGCAGGAAACCCACACAGGGATTGTTATCCAAGATGGCTCTCCATGTCCAGTGGCTCTATGTGTAACCACTGTACTATGACCAAAATCTCTCTTGAAATTAATATACAACACCAACTGTACAAATAAACATGCTGCTCTTAGAATTGTCAACATGTGTTTCAGAAGCTTCCTAACCTACCCATTGTGGTGCCCTGGGAATGACCAACATAAAATATTTTCTCTTGTCCAGTTTTTCTCAGGATAAAATTTATTGAAGCTGGAAGGTCATATTTAGCCATTTCATCAAAACTGCAAAGAAAAGGAATAACAGACTGTGTTTTACAGACTTGCATACAGACTTCTCCAGCCAATGCAATACAATATCTGGCAAACCAGAGATCACCTCCTCCATGGACTACCAATTCTCTGAACATTTGTGAAACAATCTGATTTAAATTAAGCCATGACTCATCTTCTTTAGATATTTCCACTGGCACTGTTCACTAGCAGTCAATGCAACACTATGAGCTGTTCACTGAAAACTTTTCAGGCGGGTAGTAGGAGATGGATGATTGACTAAATGGGTATAGTAAACCTGTTGACGACTGCAATTAGTCCTACAGGAAAAGGCAAGGAATGGTATGCAGATGATTAGCATATCTCATTACCCCACCCCACCCTCCCACTATATATAAGGGTCTGGTGACTTCCATTTCAGTGTATCTGAAGAAGTGTGCATGCACATGAAAGCTTATACCAAGAACAAACAAACTTAGTCTCTAAGGTGCTACTAGACCATTTTTTTATTTATTTTTTTATTTGTCAAAGAGTTACAGTGCCTGCTGTGCTTGTAGAGACTGATACAGGAGAGACATGTTTTGTCACAGCTGGGGCAGATCAAGGCATCTGGTTCTGCTGATGCGGGTGTACCATGCCATTTCTCATCCCAGTGGTAATTTCTCCTCTGTTTTTTACTGTGGATATACCACCTAACTATCTGTCTCCAGGCACTGCTGTTGTCTGCAAGAGATTCCCACAAGGTGGGGTTGATGTTGCTAGCCTTCACATCGTTTTTGGAAACATCTTTGTAATACACAGTTGGTCGGCCAGTGGGACTGCTGCCTGAAGTCAGCTCCCCATAGAGAACATCTTTGGGGGATCTTATCATCTTCCAGTCTTCATCAGAGCATCTAATTCCCCACATGAACAATATGTGCTGTTTGCTTGTTTGTTTGTTTGTTTGTTTGTTTGCTTGCTTGCTTGCTTGCTTGCTTGCTTGTTTAAAGAAACAACTACCAATTATATTTACTTGGAAATATATTTCTATACCTTCAGATTATCAGGGTGCTGTTCAATGTTGAAACAGAAGAGGAAGAGCATGGCAGATTAAAAACCCCAAAAAGAAAACTAGAAACCAGAAACACATAATGAAGTTTAGAAAGATCACTCTACCTGAATTGCCAGAATTCTTCTTGCTCCACAGTATAGTTAATGTGTTTCATGGACCAAGTGTTCCCTCTACTGTTTCCTAGCCAAACATCATAGCCAGCATCAGCCAGTATGAAGCCCAGGCTGTTGTTGTCCAGATTTGACACCCAGTTATCGCTACTGCCAAACAAGCCATGTTGCAGAAACACTACGGGCTTCGGATCTGCAATGGAAGTCTTTTAAGTATAGTTATAAGAGGTAACTTCAGTGTTTCTTTCCAACAAGACAGTGATCCATCAGAACCTTGAATGGCAGTTGTTGTCATTCCATATTGCAAGTAGCAGCCAGTGAAGTGGTGCAGGGGGGCAATGTTACTCTCATGGCTTCCCGGCAAACTGGGTTGCTGGTGCTTACGGAGAGCAAGAAGGGAATGGGAGAAGTGCATGTTGGCGGAGCCAATCCAATTCCCTCACCTCTATGTGCAACACCAGGTCAAGCTCTCCCAACCTTGCCTCTCCCCTCTTCCTCTCAATAAGCTCCAGTGAACCAATGTGTGGGGAAATCAGGAGAGCATTGGTACTCCACAAACGCCACTTCACTGGAAGCTACTGCATAGTACCTACTATAAACTTGGGGCACAAAGAGTGCAGGGGCGGCAATTTTATATGCCCATGCATATAAATAACTCCTGAATGCAATATGTAAAGCAAGTCTCCTCTCCCCCCCAAAAAAGGTCCCCTCTCCCCAGTTATTTGTAACAGGCAATATTGAACCATTCCACTCACCTGCCACAGAAGCACCACATATCTTTTTAATTATATTTAACTTCAATTTAAATTTTTAAATATTTAAACAAATGTGTCATTCCACAAACAGCCCTGTGTTCTCTGATGCCTATAACCATGTTCCATCAATGTTGTGTATGTAATAAAACTACGTTGATTTATTGAAACAGATTGATTGAAAAGTAGTGATTTTTTTTCTTGTCTGTTTTGCTCTCTTCAGCCATGGGTTGTCAGGTTGTCCATGAATGTTAAATCACAGAGTGGTGAGATCCAGATCTCAAACAAGTCTGCCTTTAGAAACCTCCTACCCCTTGCAATACTACACCGCAGTCATTAAATGACTAATGTTTCATTTTGGAGAAAGCTGTTAAAATATTTCTGACTATTATGATAGAAGTGTTGTTTCAGAATGCAAAGGGATATGTTGTTTTGTCATAAGGCCTGCTTCATGAAAAAGCTTTTTTCCAAAACAAAAAAACTTAGGGGCATTGCCACCACATGTGTATAAATGAGCCAGTGACATTACAAATTCTTGAACTGATATATTTTTAGTCATCTTATTCAATATAATCTTATTATTCAATAAGTCATCTTATTCTTACATTTTAAGCCATTTTACTCAAATATTATCTTATATTGGGAGCTTGGCACTGGAAGCAGGTGGCTAAGTCCTCCTGCCCTTCCTTCATTACACCACCTTTGCTTCTCAGGTATTAGGTAGCCCTAATATCTTTCAGAAAAGCAACACCCTTAGACTGTCCTTTGCATTTCTTTTATTATTATTACTTAAGAATTTTCTCAAATTTAAATACATACATATGTTAATTGCCTTTAAACACCCTCATTCACTCTACATAATACCCTAATTGTTATTTTCTGCTGCTCACAGTTCAGGTCCTATCTGACTGTTATACCTCTTCAAGTACTCTACAAAGAGTTTCCACTCCTTCCTTAGCAGTGTCCCCTCTTGATCCCAAATTTTTGCTTTCATACTTGCCAGCTCCACATAATCTATTGGTTAATAATAATAATTTATTATTTCTACCCCACTCTTCTGGCTGGGTTTCCCCAGCCACTCTGGGTGGCTTTCAATAGAACATTGAAAACAGAATAAAACTTCAAACATTAAAAACTTCCCTAAACAGGGCTGCTTTCAGATGTCTTCTAAAAGTCGGATTGTTAGGAAAAGGAGGGGACATTTTATCATATGTGGTGGGATTGTAAGGTAATTTTAAAAAATTGAGAAATGATATACAACGAATTGAAGAAAATGTTCCATTTAACATTTGTTAAAAAACCTGAAGCATTTTTGTTAGGGATTGTAGGAAAAGATCTGCCAAAAAAGCTGAAAAACATCTTCATGTATGCGACAACGGCCGCGGGAGTTTTAATAGCAGAAGGATGGAAGACTGAAGAAACCCCAACTAAAGAATCATGGCAAGAAAATGGATGGACTATGCAGAACTGGCAAAACTGACATACAAGCTACTGGACAAGGATAACTGTGACTTTAAATGGGAATGGGAATGAATGGGACTTTAAATGGGAATGAAGGGGAATCCTTTACAAAGTATTTGAAAATGCAACAAAGCAAACTGGACTCCTTGGCTGACTTTGAATAAACATTCACAGCTAATAATCAGCTAAATAGTTTGAGGATCTATACAACTGTGTAACATGCAGAAAATAGCATATTTAGATAAATCAAAGACTGGAACTGAGGGAAGTCAGGGGGTCAGGAAAAATGGGGAAATAAGGATGATATGTTTTTGGATAATATGTTTTAATTTTGAATAAAAATGTTATTTAAAAAATAAAATAAAAGTCGGATTGTTGTTTATTTCCTTGACATCTGATGGGAGGGCATTCCACAGGGCGGGCGCCAATACCGAGATGGCCCTCAGCCTGGTTCCCTGTAACCTCACTTCTCACAGTGAGGAAACTGCCAGAAGGCCCTTGGAGCTGGACCTCAGTGTCAAAGCTGAACGATGGGGGTGGAGACATTCCTTCAGGTATACTGGATCAAGGCTGTTTAGGGCTTTAAATTGTGCTCAGAAATGTACTGGAAGCCAATGTAGTTCTTTCAGGACCAGTGTTATATGGTCTCAGCGGCCACTCCCAGTTACCAGTCTAGCTGCCACATTCTGGATTAGTTGCAGTTTCTGGTCACCTTCAAATGTAGCCCCACGCAGTAGTCCAAGTGGGAGATAACTAGAGCATGCACCACTCTGGTGAAACAGTCTGCAGGCAGGTAGGGTCTCAGCTGGCGTACCAGATGGAGCTGGTAGATGGCTGCCATGAACACAGAAGTGACCTGTGCCTCCATGGACAGCTGTGAGTCCAAAATGACTCCCAGGCTGCACACCTGGTCCTTCAGGGGCACTGTAGCCCCATTCAGGACCAGGGAGCCCCCCCCCCACTCGCCCACACCCTGTCCCCCCAAGACAGTACTTCTGTCTTGTCAGAATTCAACCTCAATCTGTTAGCTGCCATCCATCCTTCAACCACCTCCAGGCACTCACACAGGACCTTCACCACTTTCACTGGTTCTGATTTAAAAGAGAGGTAGAGCTGGGTATCATCTGCATACTGATGAACACCCAGCCCAAACCACCTGATGATCTCTTCCAGGGGCTTCATATAGATATTAAAAAACATGGGGGAGAGGACGGAACCCTGAGGCACCCCACAAGTGAGAGCCCAGGGGTCTGAACAATCATCCCCCAACACCACTTTCTGGACACGGCCCAGGAGAAAGGAGTGGAACCACTGTATAACAGTGCCCCTAGCTCTCAGCTCCTCTAGACGATCCAGAAGGCTGTCATGATCGATGGTATCAAAAGATTGGAATACTGAGAGATCCAGAAGAACTAGGAAACAACTTTCACCTTTGTCCCTAGCCTGCCACAGATCATCAACCAATGTAACCAAGGTGGTTTCAGTCCCATGATGAGGCCTGAATCCCGATTGGAACGGATCAAAATGGTCCGCATCCTCCAGGCGTGCCTGGAGTTGTTCTGCAACCATCCACTCAGTCACCTTTCCCAAGAATAGAAGATTTGAGACTTGGCGATAGTTGACCATATCGGGTGGGTCCAAAGGTGTTTTTTTAAGAAGCAGTTTAATGACCGCCTCTTTCAGCGGGGCTGGGAAGTATTCACCATCCTGCAGTGCCCATCACCCAGCCCTTCCTGGCTCGCTTTTATTAGCCAAGATGGGCAAAGATCAAGGAGACAGATAGTTGATTTCACTCGTCCAAGCAGCCTGTCCACATCCTTGGAGGTAACAGATTGGAATTGATCCCATGCAACTTGACTAGACAGGACTCTAGCACTTTCCCACCCCAGCCCTGCTCCCACGATGGAGTCTACCTCATTCCGAATCTGAGCAACTTTAACTGCAATTATTTTTATTTTTTTGCAAAATCATTGCAGGAGATCTTGGGGGCCTTATCAGGCCCCGATGGCACAGGTGGTTCCGTTAAATTACGAACCACCTGAAAGAGTCACCTGCTGCTGTTTTCTGCAGATGCAATAGAGGCAGTGAAAAAGGTCCTCTTCAACATCACTATTGCCACTTGGTAGGCTCAACGTTGAACTCTAGCCGGTGTCCGGTCTGATTCAGAATTAATTCTCTGCCACTGGTGCTCTAGCCATCTCAATGATTGTTTCATTGCCCTCAGCTCTGGGGAAAAACCATGGGGCTGTCCAGGCTCCATGCAGTTGGAGAGGGCACTTTGGAGCCAGGCAGTTGATAGCCCTACTTAACTCTGCATTCCAGCGGGCCACCAGGGAATCAGCTGAAAGGTCATCAACATGGGATAAAATATCTCCTACCAGTCTCTGGAAACCATTTGGATCCATTAAGTTGCAGGGGCGGACCATACAAATCGGTCCCACCTCCCTGCAGAGGGGAAGGGTTGCAAAGATGTCCAGTTGCACCAAGAAGTAATCTGACCATGGCACTTCTTTTGTTTCACTTTTACTTAGTGTCAGATCCCCCACATCCAAAGAGGTAAATGCCAGGTCTAAGGCATGTCTAAGGTTTATTTTGCTACTCCTCTTTACTTGGGATTTCTTGGGTCTTTTCACCTTTGTGCATAGATTACTCAATCTGCTGTTGTCGCATACAAGAAGAGATTAAGTGCCTTCTTGGGGATATCAGAGTTTGTTATTCCTAAGAGGAAGGCCTCTGGTTTGGGGGGGGTGTCATCTTTAATATTTTTTTCAGTTCCCCATAAATAATTTCCCAGTATATTTGGCTTGCTTACATGCCTACCACATGTGGAAGGAGATGCCCTCCATCTTTTGGCATTTCCGGCATGACTTGGTTCCCTCCCCCCCTCCCCCCCCCCCCGCATTTCACTTCTCACTCAAGAAAAAGCTGCATACAAGACACAAAGCCATTGGCCAATGGAACTGGCAGTGTCACCAACTCTTCACAGCCCTGGCTTTTTTCTCCTTTTTTTTTTATTCAGGCTGTGACCCCTATAAATGGCAGAAGAACATATATCTTAAATAACTGCAAAAACACTCTTTTGCAACTAAAGAGATTTCCCCCCACAAAAAAGATTGCATGCAGTTCCCTATGACTTGGGTCAAGAAGGTATGGAGAGCACAGCTATGTAGGCACAGAAAATGGCTGCTGTCAACATGGACTATGAACTATTTATTCCAGCTTCCTCATCTCCTTGTCACCATATTTCCTTACTTCTTTAATAGTTCAGGAAAGGAGTAAGAAGCACTTGACCTCAACTACCTATATGGCCTATCTTTTGCAACATTATAGAAAAAATAGAAGAAGGACACACTCAACAATCATAATAATAGTGCACATTACCAAACAAACTGCCGATGTTCTTTTGCACTAAATCAGATTTTAGCAAAGCAAGAATTCATCTAATAATAATAATAATAATAATAATAATAATAATAATAAAATCCCTAAAATATCGAACATTTGTATATATGCGTACACACAATATATACCTCAAAGCACACACTCACCCTTGTTTGACTGATTTCTTTTGCCATGAGGGATTCTGTTAATACTCAGAATATAACCATCGTCTGTCACCACTTCATATTCCTCACTGGGATATCCTCTGAAAGAAATAATTTCGCTCTGCAGGGTAGAGATGGTGTGGTTGGACAGGTTATTTTAGGGATTTAACAAGCAACTGTAAGATGTCTATAGACCACTGCTTTTTTCTAGAAAAATAGGTGCTGGTACTCATCATGAAGTTGTTATAGTAAGTCCGATACTTTTAAACAAACAAATACACAGAGGTGCCGGTACTGTGTATCCTTGAGTACCCCCTGGAAAAAAACACTGCTAAACACTTATTTTCCACATGATAGAATTGATAACTAGAGTGTGCAGATGGGTGATAAGCCAGATAAGGTAGTAAAACCATCTCACGCCATCACTTATTTGTCAGTTCCAAAGAAATCCAGGAACTGATTACCTGCCTCCCTCTGCTGAAATTAGAAACGAAGGGAGCCTTTTGTTGCAGAATGTCTTCCCAGGATACCTTCCCAGCCAATTGCTGCTGTTGCTGCTGTTCTACATTTTTATGGCTGTTGTTCCCAAAGTCCTCCCCTCTCCCCCTCCCTTGGACCACTTGAAAATTGCTGAGGGACTTGGTGGTCCACTGAATGATTTTTGTTCTTGCTGCTGAACAATCATAATGCACTGTGCAGGATGGTAGAGTTGCTACTGCAGAGCACCTAACTGATGTTCACAGAGCACTGGTGTCCCATGAAGCAAATGTTGGGAATTTTATTGAGATTTAAAAATAAAATAAAATTCCAAGCTGCCCTGAGCAATGATGCATTGGGAGGGCAGGGTACTATTTCAAAATATTATAATAAATATTTTCTTGTCCCCTAAAACCCCAGCAGTCCATGGAAAATGAACTTCACGGATGTGGCGTACAGCACCATTAAGCAACACTAATTGTCAAAGATGCCTTGAGGTAAGAAGATGATAAAGGAAAAGGAAAATGGCTTACAATATTCATAGTCGCTTCTGGGTCTACACTTCTTCTTTTCCACAATATTCCTGAACTAATAAGCACTTGGACCAAGCCTGCCCCCATTATGATGAGCCATATCATTGATTGGCGTGGAAGCAAATCCATCTTTGAGCCCAGATATACAAGACTGCACCTCAGTCACCAAGAAGATGTATTTAGGTTCCGCGGAATGAAATGACAGACAACATGACTTTAAATAGGTTGACATTATTTGTCAAGAGCAAACAACACCTACTTGGAATAACAAGTCATATCTAATTGATATGATTGGTTTGGTCTTGCTTAACTTCCAGGATATTCCTCTGATGTAATTTTCACTGAGTTCCAATTGGTGTTCTTCCAGGCAAGTAGGCAATCTCAGTTTAACAAAAGGTTTGTCAAAGTGTCAAACGCTAGTTTAGTGTTCTAATTAAGAGTAAAAACCATCAATCAGCAGGTAGATGGTTCAAATCCAGTGCTATTTTTCTAGAAAAATAGGTGCTGGAGATTCCCATGAACATCTCCATTTGTTCTTTAATAATGGCAGTGACACCCACCTGAGAGGTGCTGGAGCTCAGTTCCTGTGAGTTCCTGCTGGGGGGGGAGAGCCCTGTTCAAATCTCATTTCTTTGGGTGGTTTCAGACACATTATTGTTCTTCTCACTGTAGTCATATGGTGTTCATACTGCCCAAACATACTAGCATGATTAAAAAATACACTTTGAATATTCCTGTTTGGTTAACATCCACAATGGACTTTCTACATGACAAACACAAACATGTGAGGGCAGCCAAGTGGGAGGAGCTGGGATGGCAGACCAGAGCGGCAAAGTTCTCACTTTTCTTCACTGACCAGGGTTAAAAGCCAGCTGCGTCTGACACTGGCAGTACAGTTGACCAAAGAGCAAACCCTCCCTCCCTCATGCTTCTGTTTTTAAACTTGTCTTAACCTTGCTTTGCTTCCTGTCCCCACTGCAGTTGACTTTGCTATGGTTCTCAAATAGTGTCCATATTCCACTGGGTGGAATTCTAGTCATCGAGGTTATGGGTGAATTAGAAAATGTAATGCTGGTGGGCAACAAAAGAGGTTTAAAGACTGTCTCAAAAAAATTTACACATCACTTGGGAAGACAGGAAAATTAATACCAGTGTACTGGAAGAAGCAAAGATCACCAGTGTTGAAGCAATGATTCTTCAACATCAACTTTGTTGGACTGGTCATGTTGTGCAGATGCTTGATTATCGTCTTCCAAAGCAACTACTCTATTCCAAACTTAAAAATGGAAAACGTAATGCTGGTGGTCAACAAAAGAGGTTTAAAGACTGTCTCAAGGCAAATTTTTAAAAATGTAGTATAAATACCAACAATTGGGAAAGACTTGCCTGCGAGCGCTCCAAGTGGAGAACAGCCTTTACCAAAGGTGTCATGGGCTTTGAAGACACTTGAACTCAGGATGCAAGGGAGAAATGGGCTAAGAGGAAGGCACACTTGGCAAATCCACACCGTGATCAACTCCCATCCGGAAACCAATGTCTCCACTGTGGAAGGACATGTGGATCCAGAATTGGCCTCCACAGTCATTTACTGACTCATTGTTAAAACCGTTTTCATAGAAGACAATCTTACTCGGCTACGAGTGATCGCCAAATAGTAAGAAAGGTGAATTAGTGCATTGCCCTGACCTAAAACCAGGTGAACTTGGGGGCAAACCATAAGAGGGGTCCAGGTGGAAGTCGCTGTCCAGAAGGCAACTGCGGGGAGATGGGCCATAGAACTTCCAATGGCAGCCTGGTGATGACTACCTCAGTAGATCTTAGGGAGGCCATAATCCTTGGCAGGGCCCTTGTAGTAAAGTTAGTACATTTCAAGAAGCTGTTCTTTGGTCAAGCAGAGAACAAGGCCTTGTGGGAAATCAGCAAGCCACAAGAATTATGGGAACTAGGTCATGTTGCTTTCACCCGCAGACCAGCAGGCTCCAAGGGTGTAAAATGTTTATTACGGGAGAGGAATTCTCTGGTTAATTTGAAGGTTTAAAACCTGGGGTTAAAGTTATGCACATTCACCCAGTGTTGTTATCTGTCCTTTAATTGCCTGAGAATGTGCATCTGCATAAGCTCCTCGAAGCTCCACGGAAGGAAGGAAACACCTTTGATCTAGGTTCTGGAGCCTTAATTAGCCCAGCTGTCACAAGTTAAAATTATTAGCTCACAAGCTGGTCATTGGAGAATTTGAATGTAACCAAGGATTGTGATTGGACCTGGGGTTCTGGTTCCACATGCAAATTGGGGATAAAAGATCTTGAGAATGGCTGGAAAAGCGCACTCTGCAACTTGCAACATCTCTGGGCTGTTAGCAGCCCACCTGGCTACAGTCGTTGTCCTCCTCTTTGTGATGGAGATTCCTGTTTGTCTTTGAACATGGATCATCTGAAGGACTTTGAATTACCTTATCTCTATCTAGGTGTTAGAAGTGAGTATTAGTCAGTTATATTCTACCATGTTGTTTTTTCTTAGCTTGTAATCCACAAAAGAAGTGCCTGCTTTTTAAGCATGTTATCCTTATGTTTTTAAAATAAATTTTAAGAAAGAAACATTTCTTGTTCTGTGTGCCTATCCGGAGGAGATGCCTAACTTCTTGGTTGCGCTCTACCTGAGAATTTCTGTCTGCAAGTATGTGGAAACAACTTGTAGAGTGGGGTAACCAGCAATAACGGGGCACGGCCTTCTCCCTGGGTCTGTGACTCTGGGTTCCCCGAGACAAAGGGAGTGGTGGTGGCATTACCAGTTCTGTTATGTTCTGATTCTGAAAAATAAAGTGTCTGCCAGCCCTGCTCCAGAAACCTGGCCCAGCCGGAGAGCAAAGGCAGGTGAGGGAGGGGCGAGCGGCTGGGGACCTTTACCACAGCCCTGTTCAAAATTTCAGCCCTCCGTCATTCCTCTGACAGGAGGTTAAAATAGATGTACAGTCGTACCTCAGCTCCCAAACACCTTGGGAGTCAAACTTTTCAGCTCCTGAATGATTGAAAACCGGAAGTGAGTGTTCCAGTTTTCGAACGTTATTTCGAAAGTTGAATGCCTGACGGGGTTTCTGTGGCTTCCAATTCTGCAGCCAATCAGAAGCAGTGCTTTGGAAGTCAAGTCAAATGTTTCAGAAGTCAAACGGACTTCCGGAATGGATTCTGTTCAACTTCTGAGGCACAACTCTACACAAAATGGCTGAGCCAAAGTCCACCTATAGTTGTAATCAATAAAATTGTGTCCATTTTTAATATGTGTGTATAATATTTTTTATTAGTTTTTAATTACAATAATCCAATAAGAGCCACATTATCACAATTCCAAATTACAATACAATTTAAAAAGTCAATTATTCAAATACAGAATTAAACAATTTTGGGTGACGTCCCGTGTGCTGGACTTCAGAGTAAAAAGTTCTTCTTTCTATCTGCTTCCATAATCTTGATTAGTCCAATTACAACAGTTCTGGTCTCAATCCTTTATTTAACAGCCACTGATTTCATAACTTTCATTCGTAATTGCATATTTAATAAATTTTATTTCCGCAAGAGAAGTTTATGTCCTGTAAATTTCTGTGTGAGATGTTAAGCTCCCATTTGTTTCTTCATTCTTCTTGTTGTAATCCAGTAATACAGCATCTCTGCTTCCACTTTTCATTGCGTCACACGCTATTTTGTTTGTCAAAGTCTAACAAAAGGTCTGGTATCGAGCCATAGCCCTGGGCAGGTCTCCAACTTATCTTTCCCATCCAACACTCAGCCACTAACGATCTGGTCCATAGCAAGGCCAAAAGAAAACTGAGACCCTGAGCTCCAAGAGAGTGGAGGGTGGGTAACTCGTGACAGGACGATGAAGAGTAAGGCCGGAAGACTGGTGCCGCAGCAATTTACGCTGCCGTACACGCCCCCTTGAAGGCACCTGGTTGGGTGCCTGTCAGTGGGCGTTGGCACCAGCCAGGTGAGTGGGAGGCTAACGCCCCCGCTTGAGGTGGAGACTGGCTCCCGCCCACAAACACTCCCCTCTCTTGCAGGAGGAGAGTCTTTTTTGACTTCTGACCTTTGTATCCTTATAATCAACTCTGTCTCTTTGGTCTACAATTTTTTTAAAAAAATCATTGCAGGGTTTTTCAATCCCGCTAGTGTCTTCACATTTTTATAGTAATTATTCATATACCAAATAAATTTATTCCAGTCTCTTTGAATTTTTTGGTCATCTTGGTTCTGGATTCTACTGGTCAGCTTGGCTAATTTCACATAGTCCATCATATTCATCTGTCACTCCTCAATCGTTAGTAATTCCTGCAATTTCCGCTTTTGGGCTAATAAGGTTCACTGCTGTTGTGGCGTATATAAATAATCTTTTATCTACCTTTGCAATTTCCTCTCCCATCAAACCCAGCAAAAATGCTTCTGGTTTTTTGGGGAAGGTATATCTAAACATCTTTTTTAACTCATTGTAGATCAGTTCCCCAAATGCTTTTGTTGTTGTTGTTGTTTAGTTGTTTAGTCGTGTCCGACTCTTCGTGACCCCATGGACCAGAGCACGCCAGGCACCTCTGTCCTCCACTACCTCCCGCAGTTTGGTCAAACTCATGCTGGTAACCTCGAAAACACTATCCAACCATCTCGTCCTCTGTCGCCCCCTTCTCCTTGTGCCCTCCATCTTTCCCAGCATCAGTGTCTTCTCCAGGGAGTCTTCTCTTCTCATGAGGTGGCCAAAGTACTGGAGCCTCAGCTTCACGATCTGTCCTTCCAGTGAGCACTCAGGGCTGATTTCCTTAAGAATGGATGCGTTTGATCTTCTTGCAGTCCATGGGACTCTCAAGAGTCTTCTCCAGCACCATAATTCAAAAGCATCAATTCTTCGGCGATCAGCCTTCTTGATGGTCCAGCTCTCACTTCCATACATCACTACTGGGAAAACCATGGCTTTAACTATACGAACCTTTGTTGGCAAGGTGATGTCTCTACTTCTCAAGATGCTGTCTAGGCCTGTCATTGCCCTTCTCCCAAGAAGCAGGCGTCTTTTAATTTCGTGGCTGCTGTCACCATCTGCAGTGATCATGGAGCCCAAGAAAGTAAAATCTCTTACTGCCTCCATTTCTTCCCCTTCTATTTGCCAGGAGGTGATGGGACCAGTGGCCATGATCTTCTTTTTTTGATGTTGAGCTTCAGACCATATTTTGTGCTCTCCTCTTTCACCCTCATTAAAAGGTTCTTTAATTCCTCCTCACTTTCTGCCATCAAGGTTGTGTCATCTGCATATCTGAGGTTGTTGATATTTCTTCCGGCAATCTTAATTCCAGCTTGGGATTCATCCAGCCCAGCCTTTCGCATGATGTATTCTGCATATAAATTAAATAAGCAGGGAGACAAAATACAGCCTTGTCGTACTCCTTTCCCAATTTTGAACCAATCAGTTGTTCCATATCCAGTTCTAACTGTAGCTTCTTGTCCCACATAGAGATTTCTCAGGAGACAGATGAGGTGATCAGGCACTCCCATTTCTTTAAGAACTTGCCATAGTTTGCTGTGGTCGACACAGTCAAAGGCTTTTGCATAGTCAATGAAGCAGAAGTAGATGTCTTTCTGGAACTCTCTACCTTTCTCCATAATCCAGCGCATGTTTGCAATTTGGTCTCTGGTTCCTCTGCCTCTTCTAAATCCAGCTTCTAAATCCCCTGCAGGGAGGTGGGACCGATTCGGATGGTCCGCCCCTGCTACTTAATGGATCCAATTGGCTTCCAGACAGTGGTAGGGGATGTTTTATCCCAAGTTGATGGCTTTTCAGCTGATCCCCTCATGGCCCGCTGGAATGCAGAGTTAACCAGGGCTATTGACTGTCTGGCTCCAAAGTGCCTTCTCCGATTGCATGGAGCCCAGACAGCCCCGTGGTTTTCCCCGGAGCTGAGGATGATGAAACAATCATTGAGACAGCTAGAGCGCCGGTGGCGGAAAACTCATTCTGAATCAGACCGGACACTGGCTAGAGCTCAACATCGAGCCTACCAAGTGGCAATGGTGACGGAAAAGAGGGCCTTCTTCACCGCCTCTATTGCATCTGCAGAAAACAGCAGCAGGAGACGTTTTCAGGTGGTTTGCAATCTATCGGAACCACCTGCACCACCGGGGCCTGGTAGGGACCCCAAGATCTCCTGCAATGCTTTTGCAAAGTTTTTTGCAGGTAAAGTCGCTCAGATTCAGAAGGAGGTAGACTCCACCGTGGGAGAAGGGCCAGGGCGGGAGAGTGCTAGAGTTCTGTCTAGTCCTGTTACATGGGATCAATTCCAATATGTTACCTCCAAGGATGTGGATAGGCTGCTTGGGAAAGTGAAACTGACCACCTGTCTCCTTGATCCTTGCCCATCCTGGCTGATAAAAGCAAGCCGGGAAGGGCTGGGCGATGGGCTCTGCAGGGTGGTGAATGCTTCCCTCTGTGAGGGAACATTCCCAGATCCGCTGAAAGAGGTGGTTGTTAAACCGCTTCTTAAAAAAACATCTTTAGACCCGGCCAGTATGGCCAACTATCGCCCAGTCTCAAATCTACCATTCTTGGGCAAGGTGATTGAGCGGGTCGTTGCCGAACAACTCCAAGCATGCCTGGAGGATGCGGACCATTTGGATCCCTTCCAATCGGGATTCAGGCCTCATCATGGGACTGAAACTGCCTTGGTTGCACTGGTTGATGATCTCCGGTGGGCTAGGGACAAAGGTGAGAGCTGTTTCCTAGTTCTGCTGGATCACTCAGGAGTTGACATTTTTTGTAATTTGGACGTATTTAGGTCATATTGAACGAACTAAAAAAATCCTCATGCAGAAATAAACTAGGTTCATTTTCTTATTGAATTCTTTGCATCCCTCAGGTCTGAAGACTGAAATGGATTATAGTTGCTTTTTGTGAATGTGTACTAATGTTTATATGTAGAACACCTGAGCATGGGCTAAGTTTGTTTTACCTCTGTGGGACGAGTGGATTACTTTGGGGGGGGGATTTGTATCTGTGGACTGCTATTACTTTAGATCTGAAAATTGATTACATTTATGTATGAGTTTACATGTATAACATCTGAGCATGGATTGCTTTACTTCTGTTGTGCCATATGGGTCACTTTAAGAAAGAAATTTTGTATCTGTGGATTGCCAACACCTGTTACTCAAACTGATATTGTGCTTGTCCATATGATCCTGCTTTGTAGCAGTCACTGCTTACTGCACCACTACTATGCCATAAGATCCACTATCCTGTAATATTACATATGGTATATACAATTGTTTATGGTTTTCTATATTTTTGCTGTAAAAATATGTGATATTACAATGTTGTATTTATTTGCATTACCTAGAGCCTGATCTACTGATGAAGCCTAGGATGGTGAAACAAGGCTAATATTCCAGAAATCCTTGTCTTAGACTCTGTGAAAGGATGGTGTAGTGGTTAAGAGCGGTAGTCTCGTAATCTGGGGAACCGGGTTCGTGTCTCCGCTCCTCCACCTGCAGCTGCTGGGTGACCTTGGGCCAGTCACACTTCTTTGAAGTCTCTCAGCCCCACTCACCTCACGGAGTGTTTGTTGTGGGGGAGGAAGGGAAAGGAGAATGTTAGCCGCTTTGAGACTCCTGAAGGGGAGTGAAAGGCGGGATATCAAATCCAAACTCTTCTTCTCTTCTTCTGTGGAACTGTAACAACCCTTCATGTGTATTATTGGACTCTATGAACAAACAGGTGGAATAGATACTTATAAATGTATGAACCTTATGCATGAACTGACTAGAGAATGAACTGATCCACTGGGTCTTCTGCTTTTTTCCGTTGAACTTTATGAGACTTCTGTTGAAATCTACAATTTGATACAATGAATATTATATCTTATTTATTCAAAAGTACAGCCGGTTACGTCTTGTGTGTTTATTGATTACTGTTACACATGGAGCTTTGCAAGTCATCACAAGCACCTGATTGTGCATAAAGTAAAATAAATAAAATGGATCACCTCACATCATTGTGACATCAGGTGACTGAAAGTTGGAGATAACATTCCAGCCTTCTGATGAGATCCACCCCCCGCCCACTGCTCTACACTGACTGGCAGAAGTTCTCCAGGGTTTCCAAAGTGTCTCTTTCCTGCCCCTCCCTGGAGATACTACAGGTAGAACATGGAACCTCCCTGGGGTGAAGCAAGTGCTCTACTACTGAGCTAAGGTCCACTGAGGACAGTAGTCTAATACATCCTGAGAATCAGCATTCCAGCAACTAGGAGCTGACATCAGTGCAGGTACTGTATTGAAAGTCACTTCCAATTGTGCTTGGTCTCAAGGTGCCAGTCTTCCAGTAAGTGTGACATACCAAGTTGCTTTCATTTACTGTTTTGGAACATCTGAATGTCTTCCTAATTCTGTGATGGGCAGTGGGGGTGGCATTCAACTTAGTCATTTTCATTAATTTCAACAGATCTACTCTGCATAAAACTTAGTTCAATACCACCCAAAACATGTTTTCATATTGCCAATTCCACAGATGTTAGCAAAGAACTTGTCTCCACCCCACACTGCAAAACAAAGTTTGGGAAGATCAGAGTTCCTTTCTTCATGACTACTGTTTTTAGAAGTCACATGAGTTATGTCTCAACACCTCTATTAAAAATGCATGGATTTAAATAATGATAATCAGTTCAAAAATGTTATTTCCAAAGGGATTATTTTGTGTGAACAAACAGGGAATTTTCCCCAAGGTGAATTTTTTTTTAAAAATGTAGTAGTTATAGTAGTTGTTGTTGTCATTATCATCATAGACTGATGGTGATGGTTTCTTGGAGGACTATTTTAGGATCCCAAACTCACTCATAATTTTGCATAAACTCAATTATCTCTTCATACAAGTGCTGTGGAGCATCAAGGCCCAAGAAGAAATCTGTGTGTTGCCAGTCAGGAATCATCTTGTGGTAAACTAAGTTTGAGACCTGAGGCAACCACCGGGCAATATTCTTTGGGGTTGAAACCCAGTCGTTCCCACCATTCCAGAGAGCTGTTGGAGCAGTCATTTTTTTAATATCATAGGAAGGTGCTGTTTCCTAAAAGAGAGGGGGAAATAACAGGTTAAAAATAGTTTGTAAGTTAGGACTTTGCAGAAACTTCATGATCAAAGCAAACACACACAAACACACACACACACACACACACACACACACGTTATGGGGAATATAAATTGAGCTGTTAATGTGCATAACAACTGGACGTTGTGCAGATTTGCAAGGCATCATAGAGAATGTGCACATCATCCATGAAGAGGAAATTGTGCACTTTCCTGGTTAATATACATAGTCTCCAACCGGCTTTGGACAATTCCTTGAAATCACTTGAAATTGTGAACACATTCCTTCCACAGGTTGCACCAGCATCCATTTACAGTTTCAGGCTTGACAGCATCCACTGCCTGCTCAATGCAAAATGATGCAAAATAAAAAAAAATCCTTCCAGTAGGACCTTAGAGACCAACTAAGTTAGTTATTGGTATGAACTTTCGTGTGCATGCACACTTCTTCAGATACACTGAAACAGAAGTCACCAGACTCTTATATATAGTGAGAAGGTGGGGAGGGGTATTACTCAGAAGGGTGGCGGGGATGGGTGATTGGCTGATAGGTGTGGTAAACCAGTTGATGACTGTTAATGACTGCAATTAGTCTTACAGGAAAAAGCAAGGGATGAGATGGCCAAAAATAGCTTTATCATGTATAATGAGATAAGAGTCCAATGTCTCTATTCAGACCAGGTCTCTCCATGGTTTTAAGTTTGGTAGTAAGTTATAATTCAGCAACTTCTCTTTCCAGTCTATTTCTGAAAATCTTTTGTAATATGACAGCTACTTTGAGATCTTGTATAGAATGTCCTGGGAGATTGAAGTGTTCTCCTATTGGTTTCTCTGCCTTGTGATTCCTGATGTCAGATTTATGTCCATTTATCCTTTGGTGTAGGGTTTGGTCTGTTTGTCCAATATAGAGAGCTGAAGGGCACTGTTGGCATTTGATAGCATACACAATGTTAGAAGATGAGCAATTACATAGTCCTGAGATGGTATGTTTGATGTTGTTGGGGCCAGTAATGGTGTTGTCCGGGTGTATGTGGCAGCAAAGTTGGCATCTGGGTTTATTGCAGGCTCTGGTACCAGTGTCCATGTTAAGTCTTGTTGCTGTATTATTATGAGTGAGAAGTTGTTTAAGATTGGGTGGCTGTCTGTAAGCTATGAAAGGTCTTCTTCCCAGAGCTTGAGAAAGAGAACTATCATTATCTAGGAGAGGTTGTAGAGCTCTGAGGATGCGTTGAACTGTTTTAACTTGGGAGCTGTATGTGATTACTAGTAGGGTTCTGTTATTTTCTTTTTTGAGTCTGTCTTGCATCAATTTTTCTATGGGTATCAGTCTGCCTCTGTTGATCTGTTATTTAACTTCATCAGGCAGATATTCTAGTTCTAAAAAGGTTTGCTGTAGATCTCTTGGGTGAGAATCTCTGTTTGTAGAGTTAGAGCAGATGTGACTGTGATGTAGGGCCTGGCTATATACAATGGATTGTTTGGTATGTTTGGGATGGTAGCTAGAAGCATGTAGATATGTTTGTTGGTCAGTTGATTTATAGTATAAGGTGGTGTCTATAGACCAATCCTGTATTTTTATAGTAGTGTCCAAAAATTGTATTTATTGCATAGATTGGTTCATAGTTATGTTGATGGTGCGGTGAAAGCCATTGAACGTCTGGTGGAAGGTGTCCAGGGTCTGTTGACCGTGTGTCCAGATAATAAAAACATCGTCAATGTATTGCAGGTACAAGAGAGGTTTGAGTGGGTAGGAGGTTAGGAAACGTTGTTCCAAATCTGCTATGAAGATGTTGACATACCGTGGGGCCATGCGGGTGCCCATTGCTGTGCCACTGATCTGGAGGAACAGGTCATCACCAAATTTGAAGTGGTTGTGGGTAAGAACAAAATGGCAGAGTTTGGTAGCAAAGTCCACTGTGATTTTATCTGAAATGGTGTTCCTTATGGCTTGCAAACCATCATTGTGTGGGATGTTGGTATACAGAGATTCCACATCCATAGTGGCTAGTATAGTATTGTTAGGAAGATTATTCAAAAATTGTATTTTCCTCAGAAAATCTGTGGTGTCATGTGCATAGCTGGGAGCACTGATGGCATACGGTTTCAGAACAGAGTCCATATAACCAGAAACACCCACTGTAATAGTGCCAATACCTGAGATTATGGGGTGTCCTGGATATCCTGGTTTGTGTATTTGAGGTAGAAGATAGAAAGTTCCTGGTCGAGGTTCTACTGGTGTGTTAGTAAGGATCTGTTCTTGGATGTGTGGGGGTAGCTCCTTAACAATCTTGTTCAGTTCTTTTTCGTATTCCTGTGTGGGGTCTGAGTCCAATTTTATGTAAAAGGCGGTACTGGAAAGTTGTCTGTGAGCCTCCTGGATATAATCAGTTTTGTTCATGGTGACGACAGCTCCACCCTTCTCTGCCTCTTTAATTATAATGTCTGGGTTGTTCCTGAGATTATCTATGGCTCTCCTTTCAGCATGATTAAGATTTTGTTGTAAGCAACAGTGTTTTCTGGTCCCATCCGTTTGGATTCTGTAGCGGAAGCAATTGATGTACAGCTCTAGTGTGGTATTGCGTCCATCAGGAGGGGTCCATGTGGAGTCCCTTTCTTGTGTAGCATTTATTCGGTGGTAGTTGGTGGTCAATGTTCTGTTCATTAATGTGTTGGGAGGGTGGTGGTTGTTCCCCAGTAGGTTGAGAGATGTTGTGTTGTGGAGATGTTGTTTGTTCTACTTTGTTTTGTCCTTGTGTGTGTTGAAAGTACTCCTTCAGGCGTAAACAGCGCAAAAATGCTTCTAAGTCCCCGCAGAACTGAATCATGTGTGGGGATTTGGCAGGGCAGAATGATAGTCCGTGTGAAAGGACTGATTCCTCAGCTGGGCTGAGTGTTTGCTGAGAGAGATTGACAATATTGTTGATCTTGTTATTTTGATTAGTAGCCTGTAGGTTGGGAAGGTTAGAGAGTTTTTTGTTTTTCTGTTTTTTTCAGTAATTCTAGTTGAGAGTGGTAAATGGTTTGTTTTTTTCATTGTGGAACTCTTGCCAAGCTGAGTGATTCCTGATAGAGTTGTCCAGTGCAGAGAGTTCCTCCTTTATAAGCTTCTGTTTAGAGTACAGAACACCAATCAGATGTTTGAGCAGCTTCTTGGAGAAAGCAGATCAGTATCCATCGTGTTGATCCTTCACAGCTTTAAATCAAGGGGTTAACTGCTCTGCTTTGGCAATGTATGTCTGCTCAGGCATCTTCTTCCAGAACAGGGCCATCTTGTGTGTTGAAAACCTGCTCTTGAAGATACTCCTTCTGCTGCAACAGCCTCTTCAGCAACCTCCATGTCTGCAAATGCAGCTTCACCAGTGCTGGGGATGTTCTTCAAATTGAAGCAACCTTTGAAGCAGTTCAGCCAACCACAGCTGGCACTGAACTCCTTCTCAGGCTGCTCACCCTGTACCAGTATCTACCCTCATATAAACACACACACACACACACACACACACACACAGACAGAGAGAGAGAGAGAGAGAGAGAGAGAGATGCAATTAGTGGGAAATTATTACCTGATTGTGGTGAGCCATGTTTTCTTCCTTGCTACCCCAGTCAAAGGCTTTGAACTTCCCACTCTTCACACCCTGAAAAAGAGATGTACCATATTTTGAAAAATAAAATGGGGAAATTATCGTTATAATTATTCATTAATTATATTTCTATACTGCCCTACATCCAAGGATCACAGTTCAGTTTACAATATACATAACATAAAAAAGCAACAATTCCCCTCCTTCCCCACTCAGTTTAAAAGAGGTGTAATTAGCCAAGGGACGCGGGTGGCGCTGTGGGTAAAAGCCTCAGCGCGTAGGGCTTGCCGATCGAAAGGTCGGCGGTTCGAATCCCCGTGGCGGGGTGCGCTCCCGTTGCTCGGTCCCAGCACCTGCCAACCTAGCAGTTCGAAAGCACCCCCGGGTGCAAGTAGATAAATAGGGACCGCTTACTAGCGGGAAGGTAAACGGCGTTTCCATGTGCGGCTCTGGCTCGCCAGATGCAGCTTTGTCACGCTGGCCCCGTGACCCGGAAGTGTCTCCGGACAGCGCTGGCCCCCGGCCTCTTGAGTGAGATGGGCGCACAACCCCAGAGTCTGTCAAGACTGGCCTGTACGGGCAGGGGTACCTTTACCTTTTTAATTAGCCAAAAGCCTGGAAGAAGAGGAAAGTTTTTGTCTGGTGTCTAAAGATACCTAATAAAGCCATCAGATGAGCCACCCTGGGGAGAGCATTCCACAATTGGGGATTTGCCACAGAAAAGGCTCATTCTCATGTTTCCATCTTCCAGACCTCTTGTGAAAGAGGGCACATGTAGAAGGGCCTCAGATGATGACTGTGCCATCTGGGTCAGCTCATATGGAGAGAAGCAATCCTTGGGTACAGCAGCACTGAGCCACTTAAGGCCTTAGAGGTCAAAACCAGTACTTTAAATTAGACCCAGAAACTGATTGGCCACCAGTGCAATTGGGCCAGGATTGGTGTTATCTGCTCAAACTTGCCTCTCTGTGCAAACAGGCTGCTGAATTCTGTATCCTCTGAACTTTCTGAACCACCCAAAGAAAGGTATGCAAAGCCATTGAAAAGCCACTGGTATCATTTCAGCTTCTGCAGTTTTTCACTGAGATGTCTAATGAGAATTAATAGGGACACATTTCCCCTGTCTAGCTCTGACAGAGGTCATCATATCAGGCAACCAAAGCAGCTTCTCTGTCAAAACTGGACCTAAACCTCAACTGAAGTGGATCTAGAAAATCCACTTCTTTCAAGACTGCCTGGATCTGGGCATGATCTTCTTCTTTGGTGATCACTCGTAGCCGAGTAAGATTGTCTTCCATGAAAACGGTTTTAGCAATGTGCACAGTGCAATAGCTTCTTTAAATTTTAGGAGTGTGGTGCCGTCTGCTGAGCATAGGAGGAATATGCCATGATTTATTGACCCATAGATGGTCTTTGTGGCTTTAAAGAAACTATGCATCATGAGTGTCGATTAAGTAATGGATCTCTTGAGCTTTTTTTATCCACCAGGTGTATTTTAGTTCTCTGGTTTTTCTTAGTGTTGGCATAGGTTTTTTCCTTAGGGGCACAGTTTCTACCTCTTTGCCAGATCTGAAAAGCCTTCCTTTTCTTGTCAATCATGTGTTCAATCTCACTGTCATTCTTATCAAACCAGTCCTGGTGTTTCTTGATTTAGTATCCAATAATTTGTTCACAGGCTACAATAATGGATGCTTTTAGCTTGGTCCAGTGTTCCTCAATGTTATTAGGGAATTCTGAAAGCAGATGGTCCTTAAGAGTCGTTTGGAAGCAATCCCACTTAATGGGATCTTGAAGGGCTTGGGTTTCATTTTGCACTTTGGTTTCCTTCCTTGAAGCCTGCGTTGAGGTGTAATCTTGACAACCATTGTGGAGCGTATTAGTCAGTGATCTGTCCAGCAGTCGTCAGCACTCGTCATAGCTCTGGTAAGGATCACATCACGGCGATCCTTAGACTATAACATAGTCTAAGAGGTGCCAGTGGTTTGACCGAGGATGCCTCCATGAAGTTTTAAATTTATTTTTCTGTTGAAAGAGTGTGTTGGTAATAAGAAGGTTGTGCGCTGCACATATTGTCAAAAGTAAGATTCCATTCTGGTTGCTGTTGCCAATTCTTTCTTTCCCAATAGACCCAGGCCACAGATCAATATCCTACCCAACTCTTGCATCACCCAGGAGGATAATTCAATAGTCATGCTGTAACTCAGGCTATGCAATAATGTTTAACCTCCTCCCTTTAGGGAGCAGAACAATGTTGTAAACGTCCAAAGAAAGATATGCAAAGCCATCGAAAAGCCACTGGTATCATTTCAGCTTTTGCAGTTTTTCTTGACTATTCATTCTTAACTGACTTGCTATAGTGAGAATGATGGAGAGATATACTGCCACTTAGGAGTTGTCTAATTTACACTTACTTGGAAGTAATTCCCATTTAACTTATGGGCTGCAAATTTCTTTTGTCATGTAATCTGAATTTTCCTTTCTGCTCCTGGCAGCTAGATTGTGGATAAGTAGCTCAGGTAACCCCTTGTGCAGAAGTGAAATATATTGCAGGGATCAGGAACTTTCACTCCACAAGACAATCTTATTCTGCCAGGGAACCCAGGTTGGCCCACACACTTTCTCCAAAGACTCCCACCTACTATCCAGCTGAGATTGCAGCTCAGAGAGGCGTTTTCATTGAAAGACTCGGGAAAACAAATCAGCAAGAGGTTTGCATCAGAATCCCTAAGTAACACAAACACAACTTGCAACATGCTTTGGAATCCTCCGTTGTTACATCAGGTAATTGACAGGTAGGCGGCCCCACCCTGCTGTTAAATGTGACCTATGATAATAATAATTTATTTATATCCCGCCCTCCCCAGCTGAAGCTCGGCTCAGAGTGGCTAACAACAGTAAAATAATACAGCATTTTAAAATCAATTCATTATAAAATCAGTTCAAATCAAATTGATGGCAACCATTGGGCTCGAGTTCTGTGAAGAATTACCAAAGGAGGGGGTCAGGCTGTGCCTTGGCCAAAGGCCTGGTGGAACAGCTCTGTCTTGCAGGCCCTGTGGAAAGATGTCAAGTCCCGCAGGGCCCTAGTCACTTGTGACAGAACGTTCCACCAGATCGGAGCCACAGCCTAAGAAGCCCTTGCCCTGGTTGAAGCCAGCCTAGCCTCTCTGTGGCCTGGGACCTCCAGGATGTTTTTGTTTGAAGACCGTAAGGTCCTCTGTGGGACATACCAGGAGAGGTGGTCCCGTAGGTATGAGGGTCCTAGGCTGTATAGGGCTTTAAAGGTTAAAACCAGCACCTTAAACCTGATCCTGTACTCCACCGGGAGCCAGTGCAGCTGGTATAGCACTGGGTGAATGTGATCCCGCAGCGAGGACCCCATAAGGAGTCTCGCCGTGACATTCTGCACCTGCTGGGGTTTCTGGGTTAGTCTCAAGGGCAGCCCCACGTAGAGCGAGTTACAATAATGCAGTCTCGAGGTGACCATCGCGTGGATCAGTTTGCTAGGTCAGGGCGGGAGAGGTAAGCGGCCAACTGCTTAGCTTGGCGGAGATGGAAAAATGCCACCTTTGTTATAGCTGCAATCTGCGCCTCCATGGAAAGGGAGGTGTCGAAGATTACACCCAAACTCTTAACAGACAGTGCTGGCACTAATTGCGCCCCCGCCCCCGCAAGAGATGGGAGTTGCCACCCCCAATCACATATCATCCCAACCCAGCCAAAGGACCTCTGTCTTCGAAGGATTTAACTTCAACCGGTTCCCACGTAACCATCCAGCCACAGCTTCCAAACATCTGATCAGTGTGTCTGGGGCCGAGTCAGGATGGCCATCCATCAACAGATAGAGTTGGATGTCATCAGCATACTGATGGCAGCCCAACCCAAAACTCTGGACAAGCTGAGCGAGGGGGTGCATAAAGATGTTAAAAAGCATCGGAGAGAGTATCGCACCCTGTGGCACTCCACACAACAAGGAGTGGCACGCCGACAGTTCACCCCCCCCCAAGCGCCACCCTCTGTCCCCAACCAGAGAGAAACGAGCGCAGCCATTGAAGGACTGTGCCCTGGATCCCCACATTTGTGAGGCGGTGGTCCAGGAGTTCGTTATCGACCATGTCGAAGGCTGCTGACAGGTCTAAAAGTATCAGCAGCCCCAACCCAATGGATCCAGAGCTGATGTTTCATCCAGAAACCCACCAAGCAGTTCTCTCAATCACCTTACCCAGGAACGGAAGATTCAAAACCGGGCAGTAATTGGATAGATCTAAAGGATCTAATGATGTTTTCTTTAAGAGCGGGTGCGCCACTGCCTCCTTCAATTCCCTTGGGAATGTCCCAGTGCCAAGGGACAAATTGATGATATCCCCTAGGGGGGCCCGCACCTCGTCTGGACACGCTCTGATCAGCCAGGACGGGCACAGGTCAAGAGGACAGGTGGTGGGCTTTCCAGCTCGGAGGAGTCTGTCCACTTCGGCTGGGGATATCCGGTCAATGTGGTCCAATTCTAGACCCGAGGACAGTTGAGGGGCCTCCAGTTCCGTTATTGTATCCAAATTGGCAGGAAGGTCACGGCGGAGCAACAGGACCTTCTCCGCCAAAAAGCTCGCAAATGCCTCACAGCTGTATGTCAAATTGTTATTTAAATTTGGTTGTCCCTTCAGGGACGTTAAAGACCTAATTATACTAAATAATTGCGCCAGGCGAGAGCTAGCAGATGCAATGGAGGCCGAGAAGTAAGACTTCTTAGCAGCCTTCACTGCCATCTCGTAGGTTTTCATAAAAACCCTTTAAGATGTTCTTGAAGCTCCGTCGTAGGCACCCTGCCATACTCGCTCTAGCCGTCTGAGGTCCCGCTTCATTTTCCGGAGCTCCTCGGTAAACCAGGGAGCCTGGTTTCTGCGGGTTTGCAGAGGGCACTTAGGTGCGATCTCATAAATGGCCACCAGGAGCCGGATATTCCAGCCCTCAACAAGCTCAGTCAATGAGTTGCCAGGGGGAGCAAGGCTTGACAGAATCTATCAGGGTCCATCAGCCACTGCGGGCGGGCCCAAATCGGCTCGCCACCTAAGCAGGGTGGGGGTGGAAAGTCATTCCTGGCTTTCAGAGCATAGTGATCAGACCATTGCACCTTCATCGAAGGAGACATGATCACATCTATACCTGTGCCAAAGATCAAATCCAGCGTGTGGCCTGCTTGATGTGTGGGGCCTGAAACAAACTGGGAGAGCCCTAGTGTTGCCATGGAGGACACCAGGTCCAGAGCCTGGAACTAATCCTGATAAAAAACTGCCCTGTGGTGTCAAAAGGATTCCCCAACCCTGTTCTTTTCACAGGGCCATGCAGATGTTACCAGTGACTACATTCAAGACCATGTACTTCCAAATCATAGCCCTTCTTGGGCTATGCTACAACACATAGCCTGGAGTCCTCCAGATGTTCTGGACTACAATTCTCATCAACCCCAGCCAGCGTGGCCTGGCTGATGGGAGTTGTAGTCCAAGCAGGTTGGCAAAGGTTGCAGTTGCACTAACAACACCTGGGTTATTTATTAAAACACATGTCAACATGTCAACAAAATACCACGGAAAATTAATATATGTTCATCTACATACAGGGGAAATATATTTTCAATAAAAAAAAAATCCACTGGGGGAATGATTATATCTGTTGCTGATGAAATACTGCTGTTTGGTATAATAATAATAAAAATAATAATAATAATAATAATAATAATAATAATAATAATAATAATAATAATATATTTTTTTATTTCTAGCCTGCCCATCTGGCTGGGTTTCTCCAGACACTCTGAGTGGCTCTCAACAGAATATAAAACAGAATAAAATTTCAAACATTAAAAACTTCCCTAAACAGGGAAGTTAAAAACACAAAAGCACCCTTGGCTTTAAATCCTTTAGCATAAAAGCAAAATATATTTGTTAAATATGTACAAAGAGAGGCTGAATTATATAGTTGAATGCTTCCTTCTGTTATATTTCTAGATTTCTTTCTAATAGTCTGTTCTTTTGAATACAATCAGCAGTGCTATTTTTATAGAAAAAGAGGTGCCAGAACTCATCACAAACACCTCACTTGTTCTCTTATAATGGCAATGGTGCCCACCTGAGAGGTTGCAGAACTGCGTTCTGGTGAGTTCCGGCTAAAAAAAAGACCTGACAATCATCCATTCAAAGCTTCAATCAATACATTAAGCTTCTTTTAACATAATTTAGGGTTTAGGTTCTACCTGAGCCCAGTGAAGCAGGTTCTGAACCGATATCCCAGCTGGCCAGTGTGATAGATACACATCACTACGACTCTGTAAGAAAGAAGAGCAAATTTGTGAATTTATCACAAAGTACAACAACCACTTTACTTCTATTTGGTTTGTTTGAACAAAACAAGTACCCCAGAGCTCAACATCTGGATATTATGAAGGAATCATTGTTTAGTTAGTAAGTCCACTCACTACCTAAGGCTCTTCCAAAGGCCCTGATGAGGCCCTGATCCTGTCCAGATGGGACCATAACCAAGCCTGCACCCAGGATTGGCAAATGGGGGTGCAGGCTTGTATGTGGGCGAAGCCAGGTGGCAGAGCTGACAGAAGAAGAAAGCCTCCCTCAGGTCCGTGTCCAGGACATCTAAACAGCTTGCACCTGGAGCCCTTACCTGAGTTTTTTCATCGGGGTCCCACCCACCCTTGGTTCAAGTTGCTGCTCAATGACCTTGCTGTGGTTATGATGGTCGCCACTTTCTGGGCCAGTTAGGAATTTGTCCACCAGGCAAACTGGCTCTGGCCTGGTGGTTTTGCCTACCTCATGGCAATCATCACAACCAGGCCTTCTTGGCAGTGGTGGCCTCCCTATGGAACACCCTCCCATTAGATGTCAATGAAATAAACAACTATCTGACTTTTAGAAGACATCTGAAGGCAGCCCTGTTTAGGGAAGTTTTTAACGTTTGATGTTTTATTGTGTTTTTATTATTCAGTTGGAAGCTGCCCAGAGTGGTTGGGGAGGCCTGGCCAGATGAGAGGGTATAAGTAATTTATTATTATTATTATTATTATTATTATTATTATTATTATTAATAATATTAATTTATTAATTACTGGGTTGGTCACTGGGGTAATCTTAGTCTTGGATGGAGGGTAGGTTGTAGTCTCTGCCTGCTCCTCCAAACCCTGGGGTATTCAGTTAAAGGGATCCGAGGGAAGGTGCCATGCCCTTCTGCCCAGTCAGGGGCCAGGGCTCTCTCCCAGATGGCGGTCCCTGTGGGCGTCACCCTATTTGATGCAAGTTTTAGGAACCCTAGCACGGATTGACCTACGGCGTCACTTCCAACAGGTAGGACGGAAGTATTTTGATTGCCCCATGCCCAAGCCAAACCTTTCATCTGTATTCAATAAAATTGTGGCCTGTTTCAATCCAAAGCAGTCTCGGTTGTCCATTAATTCTCCAGGGGGTTGGGGACTGAGGTGCCCGATGCCTGGCCTGCAATTACATGCACCTCTTTATGGAGATCAGTTTAACACTCTAAACTAGCTGCCATTCCCAATATTATGTTACCAAACAAAATGGAAATTTGGCATTTCACTTTGAGCTGTTCCACAATGTAAATGCATTTCTTTTTTTCTTTTTTTTAAAATATTTTTATTCAGCAAATTTAACAAATCAAATTATAAATCAAATATAACCAATTACATTTTCCCCCTCCCTCCCTCTCCCACCCTCCAGAGACTTCCCTCAGCTCCCCTCTCTGATTTGTTCATACATATTATTCTCTGCATGTTGTAAAGTTGTGTCATATATTCTACTAATAAATTTGTGGATGTTTATTCAAAACCTGCCAAGGAGTCCAAATCCTTTTCTTGTCTTTTTAAATAGTTTGTAAATAGTTCCCATTCCTCCTTAAAGTCATGGTTGTCCTTCTCACACAGTTTATGTGTTAACTTTGCCAACTTCGCATAGCTCATCAGTTTTTCTTGCCATTGTTCTTTTGTTGGGATTTCCTCATTCTTCCATCCTTGTGCTAACAAGACTTTTGCCACTGTTGTTGCATACATAAATTTATTTTTCTTGGCAAGTCTTGTCCTAAAATCCCTAACAAAAATGCTTCTGGTTTTTTTGCAAATGTTATTTTGAACATTTTTTTCAATTCATTGTATATCATCTCCCAAAATTTTTTAACTTCTCTACATTCCCACCACATATGATACAAAGTACCTTCTTTTTCTTTACATTTCCAACATACACTTAACCCAGTTTTATACATTTCTACCATTTTCACTGGTGTAATATACCATCTATACATCATTTTCATATATTTTTTTCAAAAGAGGACAATCTGTAAATTTCCAATCTACCTTCCACAGCTTTTCCCAATCCTCAAATTGTATAAAAGGTAAAGTGGCCCCTGACCATTAGGTCCAGTCGTGACCGACTCTGGGGTTGCGGCGCTCATCTCGCTTTATTGGCCGAGGGAGCCAGTGTTTGTCCGCAGACAGCTTCCTGGTCATGTGGCCGGCATGACTAAGCCGCTTCTGGCAAACCAGAGGAAGCACACGGAAATGCTGTTTACCTTCCCGCTGGAGTGGTACCTATTTATCTACTTGCACTTTGTGCTTTCGAACTGCTAGGTTGTCCTATATCTTGTGCCCATTTAATCATGACTGATTTAACCTCCTTATTTTTCATTTCCAATTATAGCAGAATACTATATGCTTTCTTCAACAACTTCACTTGTTCTTCTATATGCCTCCACACACTCCTGTAAATAATCAGAAATCTTACCATATTTAGATTTTTCATATTAAAGCCAGTTCCTAGGTGGATAATAAAGCTGCAGAGATACTCAATTAAGAAACGGTTACACACATGAGTAGCCATCCATTTTACAAATTTGCTTTGAGGAAACATCTGTTTAGTTCCAAATATTCCCTGCCAAAAGAAAAACATGAGTACATAGGTGATTTTGTTATTCAAGCCTGTTTTCCTAGAGATACGTCTAATAATATCAAGTAGCAACAAAATACCACAAAAAATATTGCCCATTCATGGTGACTCCCCCCCCCCCCAAGCAAGGCCTCAGCTCCAAAAGGGAACAAACTGGACAAGACAATGTTATGGGATTTTAGAAACTGGCCACAACTTTGTTGGTTCCAGATGTAGGTTGGATTTGGCTTAGGTGTTGTGTGTATATCCCTCATAACCCCCTGGTAGAGAGCTGTGCCATGACAGGCAGTGGCGGAGGTTCATGCTCCAGCACCGGGGGCCAGAGAGCAGGCAGGGGCAGGGCTGGCGCACGTCCCAGGGGCATGGCGTGCGTCCTGGGTGCGTGGCATGCTGCCTGCAGGGGCATGACGCGTGTCCTGGGGGCATGGTATGATGCCCGTGGGGGCGTGGCGCCCAGCGCGGGCGGGGAGCAGCTGCGATGGCACCCCACCAGCATCGCACTGCAGGGGGCAGTGCGCTTTCCCCACACTCCTCTTCCTCCACACTCCTCTTCCTCCACCAGTGACGACAGGGTCAAGCCCAGGATTAAAGGGTTATCCACAAACTGCAGGTCTGCACATATAAACCTCCCAAGCTGCTGAAGGAAGCTCTATGGCCCATCTGCTGCACCCCTTAGCTTCTGGACAGAGACTTCCTACTAGACCCCTCTAGTTCCCTGTTATTGCACTAGTCTGGGTTAGGGGTGATACGTCACATCACCTCCAGGCCTTACCCATCACCCCAGACAGTGAAATTGCCAACTCGCCACCAAACCAACCTACAATTGCAACCAATCAAAGATCCTTCAACTAACATTTATTTCCTGCAGGGGGCAGATGTGTGCCATCAGACCTGAATAAGTCCATTCTGTCAGGTTTGATGTCCAGGTGTTGGATAACACAGCCACCAAGACCCATCATTGCTTGACACAGTGTCCGATTAATCTTCACAAGGGCACCATTTTGTGGGCTGGCTTGTTGGCACCAGAATACCCATTAAACAATCTATGGCCTTTTAAACTGTGTGTTGTTTCTGCTTGTTATTATGGTATGTCTTTTTGTGTTTTTAATATTGTAAACCATCCTGTGATGTTGCCGTGAATGGTAGTATAGAAATCTAATTAATTCATTAATTGATATTTCAAATACTACATGCACAGTCAGGCAGAAAAAAACCCTTCTATATTCAAGACACAGACATCGTAATTGTAGCTAAGAGACAAGATGACAGCGGTCAAATGTATTTTGACATGTGTGCAATGAGCAACTGGCACCCTTCTGAAGTGGTCCCCATAACATTAACATCATTTCAGTAGGAGCTTGAATATGCAAATGACTTGTAGTTATGCAAACATAGCCTCAAAGGGCACTACTTGCTAAACTGCTTGCCATTTTGCCAAACAGTTGTGCTATAAATTGCATAATTCCTCACTAATTTCAACAAAAGTGCTTTACTTCTCTATAGTCAGCATGGTGACATTAGGGAGAATGAATTTAGTGTCATGCCTCTCGTCTTCATTTCCAGGTTGAGAATGCAAGGAATGGCTCTTCCACCAATCTGAAAGGGGCATTCAGTCTGCTTTTACCAAGGGTAGAAATAGGTGTGTTCGCATTAGTGAAATCACATAAAAAGGGGAGTCGCCTGACCTCCTCGCCCTGTCAATGATGCAAGCTCTGCTATTCCTCCAGCTCACAGTTGAAACATTACTTTTATGGGAAACATTACTAAGTAGGAAAATGGGTGGGGAAGTGGCTGCTGCTGAGCCACCCCACATTTCAGCTGTTAGGTGGGGAGGCCTCCTGCTTGTGAAGAGACCCTTCCTAAAGCCAGGAGAACTCTCCAGGGTGTTTCCCATTTCCAGGAATAATTTTCTGGCCCCGCTTGTACGCACGGTTGGGCGCAAATAGAACACACATAATGGGGAGTTACCTGTACCAAACCCTTTAATATGGGCACTTGATACAAAGGTATGAGAACTGTCCTCACACTGGCACCACTTTTAACTGCCCATGTCAGACATTTTGTGCTGGCACCCATGACACAGCAAGATAAAAAGACAGGCACACACACCCCCTTTTTTTTTACTCAAAAATAGTCCTAGGTATAGAGTAGCTAAAGCAACACTCTGCAGCATTGGCCGGATTGAGCAGATGTCTAAGAGAATGACAAATGGCCTTAGGTCAAATGATGGGTACATTCCCAAGTTCTTAGCTACAGCCAAAGATATTTGCACACTGTAGTTTAAAGAAGTATTTTGACCAAAATGCATACTTTGAGCTTGTGTTCAGATAACCCAAGGAACATCGTCAGTGCTGGGTTGGGGAAATCTTTCAAGGTGACTTGTGGTGCCAATCCAAAGACCATTTTTATCTTCTGGGCGAGCTGCGGCATGATTGAAAATGCAATGAATGCTAAGAAACAGAATGGGAAATAGAAATTGAAGAGAAATGAATATGGCAGCCAATGCAGTCTTGATCAAAATCCAAGAACAAATGATTATCCCACTTTTCTCACAACATTATTGCTTTTACACAGTGGTACCTCTGGTTACGTACTTAATTTGTACCGGAGGTGCGTTCTTAACCTGAAACTATTCTTAACCTGAAGCAACTGTTCTTAACACTGAAGCACCAGCTAATGGGGCCTTCTGCTGCTGCCGCACTGCTGCCGCACGATTTCTGTTCTCATCCTGAAGCAAAGTTCTTAACCTGAGGTAATATTTCTGGGTTAGCGGAGTCTGTAACCTGAAGCATATGTAACCTGAAGCATCTGTAACCCGAGGTACCACTGTATTGTGTATTGTAAGGCTTGTGAAGAAGTGTTTGCCATCGTAGACACATGATGGCCATGACAAGTGCAGGGGCAGCATAAAGAATGGACACTGAGGCTGGTATTGGGTTGAATTAAACCACAACATTATTGATTACAGGAAAGAGTAGGTATGACCAAAGCACTGGACATGTATCCAGCATAAAGACAGCCGACCTCCTATCTGACAGGAACCTGGTCGGGTAGACTTTGGCCTGGGGAGTCAGCCCTGACATGGATTGGGTTCCACAACTTGGGAGAAGTGTATTGGCCCATCAGTCCCCCTGTGAACTCCCAGACAGAGACACCCCCCTAACAGGGTGCCCCTGAAACTAAGAATCTAGCCCAATGGGTGGGTGGGAAATCACAACAGTCAGTCAAGCAGGCAGCCTGCATCTGGCTGCCCCCTTAAATAGGCCAGGGGTGGGCTGAGCACAGCCTCCAAGCCCCTGCCCCTGATAGGCCTTGGGGTGTTGCCCACCCACACCTGGTTGTCTAAGAATGTCACAGGGAGTGGCACCAGGCCATCCTGGACCCTCCCTGGACCCACCACAGCTGTGCCATGTGGCAAAAGCTACCCACCTAGAGCCCCAGGTGAACAGATATTATGGTCACACACTGTAGGCCAAAATAAACTATGGCAAGAGCATTGAGCCCACACTCATATCCCCTTCTCTTGTGGGCCTTAATGCAATACTTCCTGGGGTTGCTAGACTACAGCTTCTTGTTATATCCAGACTGGGAAACTTTTATTTACGGTAAATTGCAACTGCAAACCTGTTTGATCCTCGCTTGAAATCCAGGATTTCAATGACATTGAACAACAGTTTGTCAGCTCAAGGAAACCAAAGCAAACAAATACACATTTAGCAAGGTGTGTAGGGATAATAATAATAATAATAATAATAATAATAATAATAATAATAACATCCTTTATTAGGCATAGCTGGGATTATTATACTCCACACACCACTTTTTGTCAATCCATAGCAGCTATGAAACATTACTTTTATGGGAAACATTACTAAGTAGGAAAATGTAGGAAACCTACGCAGAGATTGTTATTTACAGTGCTTCTCCATAAGTCTCCATGGTTTCCAAGTGAAATCTCTACCATAAAAAAGATCTGTATTGAAATTAATATACAACACCAACCATACAAATAAACATGTTGCTATTAGAATGGCCTATGTGTGTTTAAGAAGCCTTTTAACCTACCCATTGTGGTGCCCTGGGAATGACCAATATAAAATAATTTCTCCTGCCCAGTTTTGTTCAGGATTAAATTTACGAAAGCTGGAAGGTCATATTTAGCCATTTCATCTTGACTGCAAAGGAAAAGAAATAACAGACTATGTTTTACAGACTTGAATATACAGTGAGATCTACATTGTGAAAGCCAATTTTCTCCAGACTTCTTCTATAAACATTATGAAATACAGTAATTATGATTAAGCAATAACTCATCCTCCTTAGAAATTTCCACTGGCACTGCTCACTTTTAGTCTGTGCCACATTATGAGTTGTTCACTGCAAACTAAAAAAGCTCACTACATAGTTAAGAGCAAATATCAGCACCTAGAGAGCCAAATAAGGCAAACCTGCAGAACACCCCTGCACAGAATAGGGGCTGCCATCAGAGTGCCAGCTAGGCAGCTAGGCAGTATAAAAATGCAACACAAACAGATTAGAAGAAGGAAATGAGTCCATCTTTTGTTGACACTTTTCTTCATGAAAAAACATATAGCACAACTCTAATACAGGAAGAAAAAAGAGGGAAAAACCATCTTTTTTTAAAAAATGGGAGTTTCAGGAGGAAAAATGTTTTTCCTGTGGGCAGCCAATGGCTCTGCTTCCCCTCCCCCCAGGTCTGAGGAGCTTCAAATTCTGGCCCAGTAACTGTACTGGGAATTCGCAGGACCCACAGTGGGTTCGTCGACACCCAATCTAATTACACCTAAAGTGCAGCTAATCTACTAATATCTGTGGAGTTCACCCAAGACCATATTTCATCCTTTGGTGCTTGAGTTACCCCAACGGTGTGGGTCATATTGTTGTTGGCAACCCCCTGTGTCAGGAGATAATGGAAGGGTGTGAGTTGTGGAGTGAAGTCTAGCCATTAAAGAGTTAGGATGCCTGCTGTGGCTGTAGAATCCGATACAGATATATTGTGGCAGCTGGGGCAAATGAAGGCATCTGGATGTGTTGTTGCAAGTGCACCATGGTACTCCTTCTTTCTGCTCTCCTCCTCTGCTGTGGATGTATGACCTGAATGACTGTCTCCAGGCACTACAGCCATCTGCAAGGGATTCCCACACAGCAGTGTTAGCATCGCCAGCCTTCATGCCAGATTTGCAGACAACTTTGTAACACAGAGTTGGTCTTCCAATGGGCCTGGTGCCTGAAGCCAGCTCTTCATACAGCACATCTTTTGGGAATCCTGCCAACTTCCATTCAGGAGCCAAACACTAGTGCGAAAAGGGTGTTGGAGATAATTCAACAATTTGGCCAGGTAGCTGGATTCAAACTGAACAAACAAAAAACTAAAGTCATAGAAAAAAAATTTACAGCTAAGGAGAAGGAGGAATTCCAAGAGGAGACAGGTTTGACAGTGGTTAAGAAGGTGAAATACCTAGGGGTCCACTTGACATCTAAAAATTTGAACTTGTATAAGGACAACTATGAAAAATGTTGGTCAGAAATTAAAAAAGACTTAGAAATATGGTCAAATTTGAAATTATCAATGTTAGGCCGAATTGCAGTTATCAAGATGAATGTATTGCCTAGAATGCTATTTTTGTTTCAAACTTTGCAAATCCTCGACAAGATGGATTGTTTCAAGAGGTGGCAGAAAGACATATCGAAATTTATCTGGCAGGGCAAAAAGCCCAGAATTAAATTTAAAATTCTGACAGATGCTAAAGAAAGAGGGGGATTTGCCCTGCCGGACCTAAAACTGTATTATGAAGCAGCAGCGTTTTGCTGGCTGAAAGACTGGATGCTCCTCGAGAATACAGACATTTTGGATTTGGAGGGTTTTAATAATACATTTGGCTGGCATGCATATCTATGGTATGACAAAATTAAGGTGCATAGGGCCTTTAAGAATCATATTGTCAGAAAAGCACTGTATAATGTTTGGATAAGATATAAAGATTTGTTAGAAAATAAAACCCCTAGATGGTTGTCACCCTTGGAGGCCAAGGCACTCAAAAAGCCCAATATGGAGGCCAAATGGCCAAAGTATTGGGAAATTTTGGAACAAGATGGAGACAAATTGAAATTACAGAGTCATGAGAAAATGAAACTTAAAGTACGTGATTGGCTCCATTATTATCAAATAATGGAGGTTTATAAACAAGATAGGAAAATTGGCTTCCAGGTGGAGAAATCAAAACTAGAAACTGAATTGTTAGAACCCAATACTAAGAACTTGTCAAGAATGTACAATTTGCTGCTGAAATGGAATACGCAAGATGAAACAGTTAAATCGGCTATGATTAAGTGGGCACAGGACATTGGTCATAACATAATGTTTGCTGACTGGGAATGGTTGTGGAATACCGGTATAAAATTTACGGCCTGTAATGCTTTAAAGGAAAATATCATGAAAATGATCTATAGGTGGTACATGACCCCAGTCAAGCTAGCAAAAATCTATCACCTGCCTGACAACAAGTGTTGGAAATGTAAAGAAATTGAAGGTACTTTCTATCACCTTTGGTGGACGTGCCCGAAGATTAAGGCTTTCTGGGATATGATATATAATGAAATGAAAAAGGTACTTAAATGTACTTTTCCTAAAAAATCAGAAGCCTTTCTCTTGGGCATTGTCGGCCAATTGGTGTCAAAGAAAGATAGAATTTTCTTTATGTATGCTACGACAGCAGCAAGAATACTCATCGCAAAGTACTGGAAGACACAAGATCTACCCACTCTGGAAGAGTGGCAAATGAAAGTGATGGACTATATGACACTAGCTGAGATGACCGGCAGAATCCGCGATCAGGGGAAGGAGACAGCGGAAGAAGAATGGAAGAAATTTAAAATTTATCTTAAGGACTACTATAAACTTGATGAATGTTAGAATGTTGAGGTTATGAGAAAGAAAGGGTGACAGTGATATAAGATTAGACTGAAGGAAAGATTAAGAGGACAGAGGTTTGACAGAAATATTTAGAAGTTGCTAAAAAACTTTGGACATTGGGATGCAGAAAGGGGAGGTATGGGGGAGTCTGTGAAACAAGGTTTAGGGAAAAAAAGGTTATGAAATTATACACGTTTGTATGTCTTTTTATATGTTTGTATTGTTTTAAAAATATTGTAAAACCAATAAAAAATTTTATAAAAAAAAAGGAAATGTGTGTGTGTATATATATAGACACACACACACACATTTCTGCTCCTTCACATTTTGCATTATCAGGGCACTGTTCAATGGTGAAACAGAGGAGAAAGAGCATGGCAGATTAATCATCCAAAACCGAAGACTAGGAACCAGAAGTTTAGAAAGCTCCCTCTACCTGAATTGCCAGAATTCTTCTTGCTCCACAGTATAGTTGATGTGTTTCATGGACCAGGTGGTCCCTCTACTGTTTCCTAGCCAAACATCATAGCCAGCATCAGCCAGTACGAAGCCCAGGCTGTTGTTGTCCAGATTTGCCACCCAGATACTGCCAGAGCAAAACATGCCATGTTGCAGAAACACTACGTGCTTTGGATCTGAAACAGAAGTGTTTTAAGTATAGTCATAAGAAGTAACTTCTGTGTCTTTTTCCAAACAAGACAGTGATCCATCAGAACCTTGAATGGCATTGTTGTCATTCAATATTGCAAGTAGCAGCCAGTGAGGTGGTGCAGATAGGGCACTGTTGCTCTCATGGCTTCCCAACAAACTGGGTTTCTGGTGCTTACAGAGAGGGAAAGGGAAGGAAGCAGTGCATATTGGCACAGCCAATCCAATTCTCCCATCTCTGCATGCCATACCAAAACAAGCTCCCCCAACTTTGCACCTCCCCTCTTCCTCTCAATGAGCTCCAGTGAAGTGAAGTGTTGGGAAATCAGGAGAACAATGGTACCCCACACATGCCATTTCACTGGAAGCTACTGCATATCACCCACTATAAACTTGGGGCACAGAGCATGCATGGCCAGCAATTTCACATGTCTGGAATAAATCACTCCTGAATGCTATATGAAAAATTAGAGGTCCCTCCCTCCAAAGAAATGTTTTATTGCTTTTACTTATTTGTAAAAGACGTAACAGTCAATACTGAACCATTCCAGCAACCTGCCATAGAAGCACCAAATGTCTATTTAATTGCATTTAACTTTTAAGTCGTTTCAGTTTTTATTTTTTTTATTTTAAAAAATATACATTTATACAACATTTAGACAACACTCTTGTTTGTAACAAAAAAGAAAATGATAGCAACTGAAGCAAAGATACATTGTATACCTCACAATACACATGACACTACAATTTATGAAAAAAGAAAAAAAGAAAGAAATTGAAAAAAATAAAATAAAGAAGAAGAAAAGGCAGTTGAGGTTTTACAAAGACTTCCAAACATTCTCATTGTACATTATCTGTTAAATACACTTTTACCGCACAGTTACTTATTTCTTTTATTTTTTATCATATTTCTATGTAAATTGTCAATTAGCTGTATATACTACAAGGCTCAGTCTAAGTCTGCCAGGAGATTACCCTTTATACAAGATCCTACAAACAAGAAGGAAAAAGAAATTCAGAACTGAAAGAGAAGAGATCATAATAATGAAAGCAGTCCCACTACGTTTACTAAGAAAAAGAGAGAAATACCACTTTCTGACTAGAGCCCTAAAAGCGAAATCAATATTTTATAAATGGGAATTTCCTGAAGGACTGTCCTTTAATTTTAAAGGGAAAAGAAGGAAATTTGAAACAGTAGAAGAGTCAGAAATTTTCGCTAGAAAACTTCCGCTTTTACTACAGCTGTAACAGTGTCAGCTCCGATTGCAGTAAGCAATCTGTGAGGGGCAACGTTTGGCTAAACGACCCCTGAAAAGGCTTGGAAGGAAGCTCAAGCCAAAGGAACTTCGGCAGTGTCTCTTTGGAGTCCCGGCACTGAAAGAAAAACGGCTGAGGTGGGGGGGGGGGAATCCAGGCACAGAGAAGAACATCAAACAGGCCAGTGGAAAAGCAACTACCTAAAGCAACGACAAGATGGTAAAATCTCTATTTCTATATTAAAATAAAGGTAAAGTGGTAGCAGCAGCAATAAAACCTAAAAGAAAATAAGACAAGAAGAAGAAAAAAGGAACTCAGGGGGGGAAACCCCTGCGGAGTGAGTAAACCCAAAACAAAATAAAGAGTAAAAATAGTGGAGGGGAAATAATGCTACCACAAAAGTAAAGGGAAGACAGAAGAACAGAAAAAATATAGAGAGAGTGTAAAGAAATCACTCAGATTGCAATTAAACTATTTGAAAAGCACACTATCTGAAACGGACTTACTAGAAAGTGCAAAGCGGTGCAGGCTGCCTGTTATTGGAGCTGGGTAGAGTAAAGCAGCCGCTTTGAAACTGAAGGTCCTTGAAGGAACGACAAAGACAAAGGAATAAGGAACGCTGTGGGGGAAAGGAGGGGAATTTAACAGATAAGATGGCGTCGAGGGTCTGAAGATGTTGAGTAATCACCAAGAAGGAGGAGGAAGGAGGAAGGAGGAAGAAGGAGGAAGTGACGAAGACAAAATAGTGAAAGAGTGGTTAGTGAATAGTGAAAGAAGCATGAAATTAGGTTAAAAGTGTGTGAAAGAAAGTAATAGTAGTGGAAAGAAATTGCAATTGAATAGATTGGAAGTCTAACACAAAGGTGGGGTGATGGGTGGTGGATGGTGATAGGAAAAGAATTATCTGTGGGACTGAATGTAGGTATGTTTGTATATATTTAAGGATTGTATGACATGTATGTTTGTATGCTTGTATATTCACAATATGTGTGTATTTTATAATAAAAAATAATTAAAATTTTAAAAAAAGAATATTACAAAAAGCTAGAAGAAATATTACTAGCCCCAATACAGGAAATAATGAACCAAACCTTTGAAAAAGGGAAAATACCAGACTCCTGGACTGAAGCATATGTTACATTAATACCCAAAGCAGATGGGGATCTTGAACTAATTCCCAACTACAGACCAATATCTTTACTAAATTGTGACTATAAACTTTTTGCTGAAATAATTGCAAATAGATTAAAAGATATATTAAAAGAAATAATAGACCCCAATCAAGCAGATTTCTTACCAGGGAGACAAATATTGAGTAACACCAGGAATGTTGTAGATATTTTGGACTATTTAGAATTTAAAACTGATAAAAAAGCAGCACTTTCCTGTTGGATGCGGAAAAAGCATTTGATAATGTCTCCTGGCATTTTATGAAAAAGCAACTAAAAATATTGGGAGTAGAAGGGCAAATGGGAAAGGCAATAGAAGTGATATACCAACAATAAATGGAAACCTGACTGAAGAATTTCCAATTACAATGGGGACAAGACAGGGTTGCCCCCTTTCACCCCTGTTATTTATATTAGCTTTGGAAGTTTTGTTGCAAAATCTTAGAAAAGATAAAAGGAATTACAATTGGGGGGAAAATTATATGAAGTTAGAGCATTCATGGATGACTTGATAATAACAACACAAGACCCAAAAGAATGTATCCCAGAAGCGCTAGAAGTAATTAAAAAGGTAAAGGTAAAGGTACCCCTGCCCGTACGGGCCAATCTTGACAGACTCTGGGGTTGTGCGCCCATCTCACTCAAGAGGCCGGGGGCCAGCGCTGTCCGGAGACACTTCCGGGTCATGTGGCCAGCGTGACAAAGCTGCATCTGGCGAGCCAGCGCAGCACACGGAACGCCGTTTACCTTCCCGCTGGTAAGCGGTCCCTATTTATCTACTTGCACCCGGGGGTGCTTTCGAACTGCTAGGTTGGCAGGCACTGGGACCGAGCAGCAGGAGCGCACCCCGCCGCGGGGATTTCAACCGCCGACCTTTCGATCGGCAAGCCCTAGGCGCTGAGGCTTTTACCCACAGCGCCACCCGCGTCCCAGAAGTAATTAAAGCATACGAAAAAGTGGCAGGTCTGAAGGTAAACTACCAAAAAACTAAGATATTAACTAAAAATCTAAATATGGAGGGGGGAGAGAAATACAACAGCTGACAGGATTAACGATTAAAGGCAAGGTAAAATACCTAGGGATCTGGATATCAACAAAGGGTATTAAACTTTATGAAGATAACTACACCAAAGTATAGAAAGAGAATAAGGAAAATATGGAAAACTGGACAAGATTACAACTCTCTCTATGGGGCAGAATCTTGGTAGTTAAGATGAATATACTTCCCAAAATGATGTTTTTATTTCAAACAATTCCGATACTGGGAGGGATGAAGTGTTTTCAGGAATGGAAAAGAGATAAGGCGAGATTCATATGGAACAGGGGGAAACCAAGAATAAAATACCAACTATTAACAGATAAAAAACACTATTTGAGGTTGAATCCTGACAAGACAGAAGTACTGTTTTTGGGGGACAGGATGCGGGCAGGTGTGGAGGATTCCCTGGTCCTGAATGGGGTAACTGTGCCCCTGAAGGACCAGGTGCGCAGCCTGGGAGTCATTTTGGACTCACAGCTGTCTATGGAGGCACAGGTCAATTCTGTATCCAGGGCAGCTGTCTACCAGCTCCATCTGGTACGCAGGCTGAGACCCTATCTGCCTCCGGACTGCCTCGCCAGAGTGGTGCATGCTCTGGTTATCTCCCGCTTGGACTACTGCAATGCACTCTACGTGGGGCTACCTTTGAAGGTGACCCGGAAACTACAACTAATCCAGAATGCGGCAGCTAGACTGGTGACTGGGAGCGGCCACTGAGACCATATAACACAGGTCTTGAAAGACCTACATTGGCTCCCAGTACGTTTCCGAGCACAATTCAAAGTGTTGGTACTGACCTTTAAAGCCCTAAACAGCCTCAGTCCAGTATATCTGAAGGAGCCTCTCCACCCCCATCGTTCTACCTGGACACTGAGGTCCAGCGCCAAGGGCCTTCTGGCGGTTCCCTCACTGCGAGAAGCCAAGTTACAGGGAACCAGGCAGAGGGCCTTCTTGGTAGTGGCGCCCTCCCTGTGGAACGCCCTCCCACCAGATGTCAAAGAGAACAACAACTACCAGACTTTTAGAAGACATCTGAAGGCAGCCCTGTTTAGGGAAACTTTTAATGTTTGATGTATTACAGTATTTTAATATTTTTTTGGAAGCCGCCCAGAGTGGCTGGGGAAGCCCAGCCAGATGGGCGGGGTATAAATAATAAATAATAAATTATTATTAATTATTATTATTATTATTACTACTACTACTATTTTGAAACTAAATCAACTCCCACAAAAAAACTAAATTAAATAAAAAATATAACAACCAATTCATGACTTGCAGTCAACATGGACTGTGAACCACTTACTCTAGCTTCCCTTTCTCCCTGCCACCATACTTTTTCATTTCTCTAATAGCTCAGGAAAAAAGTAAAATATGCTTGACCACATCAATTTATACGGCCTATCTATTTCAAATTTATAGGAAAAATAGAACAAGGACACACTCAGAAATCATAAGAATAGTCACACATTACCAAACAAATTCACTATGTATTCTTGCAATAACTCAAACTTTTGCAAAGCAAGAAATTGTCATATTATAATTATAATGAAAATTCCCCACACTATTGAACATTTATATAAATGCACACACACAAATTATAACTCCAAACACAAACTCACCCTTGTTTGACTGATTTCTTTTCCCATGAGGAATTCTGTTAATACTCAGGATATATCCATCATCTGTCACCACTTCATATTCCTCACTGGGATAGCCTCTGAAAGAAATAATTTCGCTCTGCGAGGCCAAGAGAGTTTGGTTGAGAAGGTTATAAAGTGGCTAAAAAAATGCCTAAACACTTATTTTCACAGAAAACAATTGGTAACTAGAGTACGCAGATAGGTGAAAAGCCAGTTAAAGTAGTAAGATTGTGAATGTGTCAAACACAATCAGTTGTTTGCCAGTTCAAAAGAAATCTAAGAATTGATTTCCTGCCCCCCTCTGGCATAATTAGAAATGAAGGGAGCCTTCTGTTGCTGAGGGTCTTGGTGTACCACTTAAATATTTTTCTTCTTGCAGTTCAGCAATTATAATGAACTCTGTAAGATGCTAAAGTTGCCACTGTTGGAGCAACTAAATGAAGCTCACAGAGCATTGGCGTTCCATGAAGCACAAGCTGGGAACTACTTTAGGCTGCTTATTCTTTTAAAGAAAATGTTGTAAGCTATGCTGAGCAATCATGCATTGGCAAGACAAAGTATGTATTCAAAATAAAATAATAATACTTCCTTCCAGCCGCCCATTAAAAAAATGAACTTCAGTTATATGGAGTATAGCACCATTAAGCATCACTTATTGCCAAAGATTCCTTGAGGTAAGAAGACAGGAAAGAAAAGGTTAATGGCTTACAATATTCATAGTAGCTTCTGGATTTACTTTTCTTCTTTTAAAAAATATTTCTGAAGTAAGGAGGACTAGGACAAGGCCTGCACCCATTATGAAGAGCCACATCCTTGACTTGCATAGAAACAAATCCATATTCCAGCACAGATATATAACTCCTGCTCCACAGAGCTAGATTGAAGCAACTGTCAATGAGATGCACTTCATTATATTCCACAGGAACAAATTACAGGTGGCTTAAATAGCTTGCAATTGTTTGTCAATTACAAGCAATATCCACCTGGTGAGAAGAAAAATGTTTATGTAATGATGTGATGGAATTGTCCCTTGCTCAACTTCCAACCTACTCAGAAGTCATTTCCACTGAGTTCACGCAAGTGAGCCTTGATAAACCTGCTTAATCTCAGGATCATGCTTTTGAGCCCTATATTGAGCAAAAAGATTCCTGGGTTTTACGAGAAGAACTCCATGGTCCCTTCCAACTCAACAGTTGTACGAATCTTACGAAACTCTTTCCTTGGATCTATGCTCTCTTTTCATTTGCCATCGCAATTCATCTGCTGACCTGATGAGTAAAAAGCAAACAGAAAAACCACACCAAAGCCTCCCAAGTAAGCAGAGCACTCAGGGAGTAGGAGAAGAGATCCCCTTGTGGATTGGAAACTGCTAAGAAACAGGAAATCTTAATTTCATATACTGTATAAACTCCTGGGGTCTGTCCTGACAGTGATTGAGATCATGGGGTCATAGTAGATCGCTTGCTAAAGATGTTGACCCAGTGTGTGGCTGCTTTGAAGGGGGGAAAGGTGGATTTCATGCTGGGGATCATTAGGAAAGGGGCTGTAGATAAAGCTCCCAATATCATAATGGCATGAGGACCCAAGAACCCGTTGAGGTGCTACACCAGTATTTGGAGACAGTGACAGGCAGGATGTGGATCAATTTTTAAAAAACTGAATTCTGAAAGAACATAAGTGCTATGTGTTTCAAGTTCTCCAGTCTGGAAAGTGTGAAGATGGACTGTTCAAGATGGAGTTGCAGTCTCCTGAAAGGAATAGACTTATTGTTTAGGGATTATCCTGGATTATTTCAATCTGTGCTACATAGGCTGCCCCTGAAGATGGTTCAGAAACCTCAACTTTACAAAAGGAAGCAGTCAGGATATTGGCTAAGATTGCGTATACAACCTGTTTTAAAACACATGGGTACAGACATCTGGACCCAATTCAAGGTGCCCACATTAGTGTTTAAAGCACAGAATGAATTAGGCCCCAGAATATCTGAAATATCACAGATCCTTGCAAATGTTAATCTCAGCAGATGGGGCCTGCTTGGTAGCAGAGGTTCGGGGTGGTGAGTGCCTAGCAGAGGACAATCTCCCTGGCAGCTTCTATTCCTCACAAAAGTGCATCTGCCATCTTACTTGTATAGTTTCCATCATATGGTGAAGACATGTCTTTTTGCCCTGGCCTTTGACATCTGAGATACACATTTTCTTTTAAAGTGCTCAGGTTAAAGGTTTGGTGTGCATAAAATGTGATGTTTGTATGCATGGAAGTTAACTTATGTACCAGTGTGTATTTGGAAAGCAGAGAAGTTTGCAATTCAGGAGATGGTCCATTCTAGGTGAAAGTGAAAGCCTAGTGGGGTGGTTTTTTCCCCCATTCCAGAGGGTTTAGGCTACCTAATGGCTCATTACAAGCAGGTCCCTCATCAGCAGAAAATTTAAACCTGAAAAGTCAACATTCTTGTACTGTGGGAAACTGGCAGAAAAATTGCCAGCTCAGCATGTTGGGAGAAGGGTTTGTGAGCATCCATCTGTCTTGAGGGACAATGTAACAGGATATGCAAAACCCATAGTTAGAAAGATCCAAGATTGGGAAGTTCCTATTGCCTTTTGAATCTAACAATGTTGCCAGTTTCTGCTTAACTCCAAATACCTCTCTGAAACAAGCTATTATATTAAGCAAGTTGATGCTATCCGCTGTCACCAGATAGAGCTGGCCTTCCCATCCTTCCCCTCCTCTTGTCTTGATGGCCTTCTTCCCCCTGGTGTAGCTACACCTTTTATTCCCTGCCATTATAAGCACTAAACACAAATTTAAACAATAATTTCTTTTTCTGTCGACCAGGGGTGGCAATTTCAGAAATTAAATTTGCAAGCTGTAATTTAACTAGATTCCATCAGATGGCATGCAAGATCACTTCATTGACTCCAGATCCCTTGAGCATATATATGTAAACTTAAGATTTTGTTTTATTTGCTCCAGTGTGTATCAGTTTACACTTGCTTGGATTGAAATGCCTTTACCATTTCACTGCCTCTTTGAAGAGATCATTTTGAATCCATTTATTCCTACTCTTTTCTTCCTGTTTCTTAACAGTTACTAACCTACAAGATAGGGACGCGGGTGGCGCTGTGGGTAAAACCACAGTGCCTAGGACTTGCCGATCGTATGGTCGGTGGTTCGAATCCCCGCGGCGGGGTGAGCTCCCGTCGTTCGGTCCCAGCTCCTGCCCACCTAGCAGTTCGAAAGCACCCTTAAGTGCAAGTAGATAAATAGGTACCGCGTTATAGCGGGAAGGTAAACGGCGTTCCGTGTGCTGCGCTGGTGCAGGCTCGCCAGAGCAGCGATGTCACACTGGCCATGTGACCCGGAAGTGTCTGCTGACGGCGCCGGCTCCCGGCCTCTAGAGTGAGATGAGCACACAACCCTAGAGTCTGTCAAGACTGGCCCGTATGGGCAGGGGTACCTTTACCTTTACCTTTTTAACCCACAAGATGACCTCTCCTCCTACTCTAATACGCTTACCGGGAAGCCTTTGGCATGGTGTGATTTACTCACTAGGTCAGAAGATGAATTGCAATGGAGATTTTAAAATGTGCATAGATTTAAGGGAAGAGTTTCATAAGCTAAGTAGTTAGAATGATTTAAAAATCAAACCACAGACCAAACCATTTTTAAATGCTATTTTATTTATGGATTATGAAGAATTCTCACTTTTATGGTCCCCGTTTCAGCTGTGAATTTCATCTCTGTGCAGCAGTTGGAAAAATGCACTTCAGTTCATCAATGCAAGAAAAAAACAACCCAGGTACAATCATTTGAACAGAGTTCATGATGCAAATATATAGATTTGTGAAGTTACAAAAAGTGGCTTCCCATAAGTTAGTTCTGCAATATAAGTTAAAAAAAACAAACAAACCCTATTCACACCATTTCAGTCTTGTGACCATTACTCTAATATAGTTAATACCTTAAGATGTGCAGATGTGCAGAAAAAGGATCACCTCACATCATTGTGACATCAGGTGATTGAAAGATGGAGGAGATAAGATTCCAGCCTGTGGATCAGATCTACTTCCCACCACTGCTCTAATTTATTTTTCTTATTATTATTATTATTATTATTATTATTATTATTATTAATAATAATAATACCCGGTCCATCTGGCTGAGTTTCCCAGCCCCTCTGGGCGGTTTCCAACAGAATATTAAAAATACAATAAAACATCAAACATTAAAAACTTCCCTGAACACGGCTGCCTTCAGATGTCTTCTAAAAGTCAGATAGTTGTTTATTTCCTTGACATCTGATGGGAGGGCAATCCAAAGGGCTGGTGCCACTGTCAAGAAGGCCCTCTGTCTGGTTCCCTGTAGCCTCACTTTTCGCAGTGAGGGAACTGCCAAAAGGCCCTCGGCGCTGGACCTCAGTGTCTGGGCTGAACGATGAGGGTGGAGACGCTCCTTCAGGTATACTGGGCCAAGGCCATTTAGGGCTTTAAAGGTCAACACGAACACAACACCAACACTTTGACTTGTGCTCAGAAACTTACTGGTAGCCAATGTAGGTCTTTCAGGACCGGTGTTATATGGTCTCGGCGGCCACTCCCACTCACCAGTCTAGCTGCCGCATTCTGGATTGCTTATAGTTTCTGGGTCACCTTCAAAGGTAGCCCCACATAGAGTGCATTGCATTAGTCCAAGCGGGAGATAACTAGAGCATGCACCACTCTGGTGAGACAGTCTGTGGGCAGATAGGGTCTCATCCTGCATACTGGATGGAGCTAGTAGACAGCTGCCTTGGACACAGAATTGACCTGCGCCTCCATGCACAGCTGTGAGTCCAAAATGACTCCCAGGCTTCACTGAAGCAGGACCTGGAGGAATTTTACCCTTATGCTTTTCATATAATCAGTTATCCATATAATCAGTTATCAGTTATCCATATATACATATATAACCAGATATTTCTATGATGATTTTATATAAACCATGTTTGAATCGTGAAAGCTTCTGCTTAGCTTATAGCAAACTGCTTAGAGCTGAAAGGTCCTAAATGAACTCTGCCCTAGTACCCTCCCTTGTTCTCTTCGATGTCTCACTGAACAAAAGGGGGGGGGAGCAATAAATCTGATGTGCTGGCACTTCCCCCCTGTACCAGACAGGGTCTTGAGCAGCTAAACAGGATGATGCTATCCGATGCTAACCCCAGTATGTCCCAGAATAGCAGATGGTCGTGTAGGAGCACAACAGCCGAAGTTCCCTTTTTGCCTTAAGTTTCTGTTTCTTGCCATAAATCTGGGGGAAAGGTTAAAACTGCATGTTCAGACTGTAAAAGCAGAAGTTGGGAGGGAACTCTTTACATGATCAGGGAGCAAAGCTTGAATGCGCTCATTCGTTTATTTTTGCTGCCGTTTGCGATTGTATCCGATTATGTCATGATCTATGATGTATGCACTCAGGTATAAAGCCTCTGGGCGCTAGAGCCCAGTCTTTTGGAAAGGATTCCACTGGGTCAATTATTGCTCAGCAATAAACATCACTTTCTTTTTCTCCACTGCTGCATCTGTCAATTCTTGGACACTATTTGAGTTGGTCACTGGTACCTTAAAATCCTTGATACACACACCTGGTCCTTCAGGGGCACAGTTACCCCATTCAGGACCAGGGAGTCCTCCACACCAGCCTGCCCCATGTCCCCTGAAAACAGTACATCTGTCTTGTCAGGATTCAACCTCAATCTGTTAGCCGCCATCCATCCTCCAACCACCTCCAGGCACTCACACAGGACCTTCACAGCCTCCTACGCAACTGGCAGCAGTTCTCCAGGGTTTCCAAAGTGTCTCTTTCCTGCGCCTCCCTGGAGATACTACAGGCAGAACATGGAACCTCCTTGGGGTGAAGAAAGTGCTCTACTACTGAGCTAAGGTCCACCGAGGACAGTAGTCTAATACATGCTCAGAACTTGCAGTCCAACAAGTAGGAACGGATATCAATGCAGGTATTGAAACTCATTTCCAAGTGTGTTTCATCTGAAGGTGCAAGCTTTTAAATCAGTGTGACACATCAGGTTGCTTTCAGATTTCAGCTTTATTGTTCTGGGATACTCTGAATCTAGAGTGGGTAGCATTCAACTTAGTCATGGTAATTAATTTCAATACTTCTACTCTTTGTAAAACTTAGTTCAATACCATCCAAATCATGTTTTTGAGAAGCTTCATTAAAATAGTTCATCAAGTGCAGGTATGCCTTTAAAGAACAAAGTACAAGTTGCAAACATGTAGAGCTGTGAAGTTACAAAAAGTGGCTTCCCATAAGTTAGTTCTGCAGAACAAGTAAAGGAAAACTATTCACAACATTTCAGTCTTGAAAATATTACTCTAATAAAGTTAACGCCCAAAGATGTATACAGGTTCAGACATTGCTAGAACAAAGATATTAGCAGAGATTGGCACTCTTTGGAAAGCCTCGCTATCAGCCGATTGCTGGAATTGGCATATTGCCACACACGGAGCTTTGCAAGCCATGACAATCAGCTGATCACTTCACAGGATTGTGACTGACAGGTGATTGACAGTTGGGGAAGATAAGGCCCGAGCCTCCTGATCACATCCACTTCCCCACCACTGCTCTGCACTGACTGGCAGATGTTCTCCAGGGTTTCACAATGGGCTCTTTCCTGATCCCACCTGGAGATACTACAGGCAGAACATGGAGCCTCCTAGGTGTGAAGCAGGTGTTCTACCATGGAAGGCAGCATTCTAATACATGCACAAAACCTGCATTCCAACAAGTAGGGACTGATATCAGTGCATATTTCAAAAATTATTTCCAATTGTGCTTAGTCTCAAGGTGCCAGTCTTTCAGTAACTGTGACATGTCAGGTTGCTTTCAGGATGCAGATTTAGTGTTTTGGAACACTTGAATGTAGAGCTGGTCTTCCTAACTGTGTTATGGCCAGTGGGGTGGCATTCAATTTAGTCACGGTAATTAATTTCAATACTTCTCTGAGCAAAATTTAGTTCAATCCAAGATCATGTTTCAGAAAAAATTCATTAAAATAGTTTGCACATCATCAATACAATACCACAGGTGCTAGCAAGGAACTTATCTCCACTCTACCTTGCATGATATTTGGGAAGATCAGATATACCTTCCAATATACATTACTGTGCAAAATTAGGGGCAAGTCATTTCCCTTCTCCATGACTACTATTTGTGATGAGAAGTCCACTTATGTTTCGACGCCTCCATTAAAGGCACTTCCGGGTCTGCAGGCAGACTGCTCGCTCTGAGCATCCTGATTGCTGTGAGGAAGCGGGAAGGGTGCTCAGGCAAAGCACCTCCTCAAAAAAGTCCGAAGGAAAAGTTTGGGTTCCAAAGGATCCAGCAGTGTCAAAGGACGCTCTCTAGGAGCTCCCAAAACTTCCAAGGGAGCCAGGGGAGATCCAAGATTGAGCACAGACACGCAGCGCGATCGAGACCCACAGCAAACTGCCTTAAGGGCCTCCAAAACCTCTTCCCCCCCCCCTCCAGCCGTGGGTATTTATCTGCATGGAAAAAATCTGCAGGGACTAAATTAAGTATGAGAAAAATACTGGCTAATGGTTATTTTTAACAAGCATTCCAGGCGATGAGCTGAGTTTAATCTGTGATTTGCCTAAAGCACTGGATGCAGAATTTTTAGACTTTATAAATATTTTCTAACAAGAGAGCCAAACTGGAAAGAATTCTAAATATTGTGGAGGGAAAGAGAAGAAAGCGGGATGTTGACATTGTGTGTGTTTTTAATATATATTCTAAGGACTATTTTTTATTTCCTTTTCTCCTTTTTTACAATTTAAAAGACACTGACACTGTGGGATTGAATTGAATTTTGTCTGTTTTCTGCTTTTTTGCCATCAAGATAGATGGTTAATTTCTCTTTTTTATTATTTATTTGGATCTGACAGGGACTAGATATAAACTGGAGCAGGTGTAATTTACTTTTATTTATATATGGATTAAGAGGTGGGCTTTTGGAAGAAACTGAAGAAAAGGGAAAAGGAGATTTAGTTTGAAAGACCCCAGAATTAACATAAATAAATGGATAATTTCAGGGGCCTTTGAAGCAGCTGAAGAAAGAGTCACACAGCTGAGAGACATGGTTTTTTGTGACTTGTAAAACCTCTGTTTGAGTTTAGAAGGGGCAAAATTGGGTCTAAAGGCTTCCTTTTTTATTTTATCCACTTTTTTGTAGCTTGGGAAGCTTTGTGAATAAGTTGTAGTGAAAGAGGGAAAACAGGAAATACCTCCACTAAAGATGCATGGGTTTATGCATGTGGTGCATAAATGTTATTTCCTGAGGGATTTCCGTACTTTGCATAGACAGCTTAGTAATAGTGTTTGCATTTATAAACATAGGGATTTCTTTCCATGGTGAATGTTTCAAAGTAGTAGCAGTTTCACTCATCATCACAGACTCATAGTGCTGGTTTCTTGGAGGACTATTTCAGGATCCCAAACTCACTCATAATTCTGCATAAACTCAATTATCTCTTCATACAAGCGCTGTGGGGCATCAAGGCCCAAGAAGAAATCCATGTGTTCCCAGTCAGGAATAAACTTGTGGTAAAATAAGTTTGGGACCTGAGGCAGCAACCAGGCAACATCCTTTGGGGTTGAAAGCAAGTCGTTTCCACTGCTCCAGAGAGCTGTTGGAATAGTCATTTGTTTAATTTCATAGGAAGGTGCTGTTTCCTAAAAGAGAGGGGGAAATAACCGTTTAAAAAATAGTTTGTAGCTTAGGACTCTGCAAAAACTTCCTGATCAAAACAAACACACATATAAGGGGAATATAAATTAAGCAGTTAATGTGCATAACAACTGGACAATTGTGCAGATTTACAAGGCATCATAGAGAATGTGACATAATCCATGAAGAGGAAATTGTGCACATTTCCTGGTTAATATATATAAAGGCTCCAGCAGGCCTAGTGGAATGCGCATAGATTGAGTGACCTTTGTACATTGTCTGACCATTATGCATAATCTCCAAACACTGCCAAATTCCACCATAATTGCTCCCTCTAAACCTCCTTGCTCAAACTTCAACTCTCCACATGCCTTGACGGTCAGTGCAAGGGATCCTAGGATTGCTTGGCATTGTTTTGTGCCTCTTTTTTTACTTTCTGGGCTCTTTTATGGCCATTTATGCATTTTTCTAGTGATGTCCAGGTTTGGCGCAATGTGCGTGTGCACAGTCACGAGTCAATGAAAAGTGCTTAAATTGGTCATTGCCTGTATTTGGAATTTAATCACAGTGGTACCTTGGTTTACGAACTTAATCCATTCCAGAAGTCCGTTCTTAAACCAAGGCGTGCTTTCCCATAGTGTGTTACAAATGGAACACACTCAACAGGAAGCGGAACATGTTCTTATTCCAAGGCAAAGTTCACAAACCAAAACACCTACTTCCGGGTTTGCAGCGTTCTTAATCCAAGTTGTTCACAAACTAAGCTGTTCTTAAACACTGTACATTCTTTTTATAAAAATAAATTAAAGTGAGAGACTGAACTTATACATAAATGATGCTGCATAACAAAATAGTCCACTGGAGAAGCATAGAACACCAAAATGCATTTTGCATTTCACTTATCCAGAAAGTCTGATTGAAGGACATTAAGAACATCTTATGCAGGCATTTAAATTATCTAAAGAATATGATGGAAGAAGTATAAAAACACCTCATGCACTGTACAAAAAGCTTCATTTTATTCAGATTACTACATAGTTTTTCACATGGTGTGGTTATATTATTTCGATATATTTTCAGTTTATGGAATTAAATATAGATTTTGCTAACATATTTATGTGCATCACAACCATTATGTTTTCTGTATGTACATATATACAGCCTGGTTATAAACTTCATTTAAGTTTATAACTCTTGATGTTCTTGTTTTACATTGGAACTTCATATTATCCACCATGTGTTATACGAATAGCAGCTTTTCCCACCAGTAGCTATGGCTAAGCCTTACCAGTATCTACCCTCATATAAGCAGAGAGAGAGAGAGAAAGAAATGCAAATAATGAGAAATTCTTACCTGATTGTGGTGAGCCATGTTTTCTTCCTTGCTTCCCCTGTCAAAGCCTTTGAACTTCCCACTCTTCTTACACTGAAAAAGAGGTGTACCATATTTTGAAAAATCAAATGGGAATATGATGGTGGTGATGATGGTGATGATGAAGATAATAATAATAATAATAATAATAATAATAATAATAATAATAATAATTCTATACCACCCTTCATCCAAGGAACACAGTTCCGTTTACAATACAAAAGCACAAAAACACATAACATAAAAACAAAGGAACAAACACACACACACACACGGTTTAAAAGGCCATCGGTGATGTAATTAGCCAAAAGCCTGGGAGAAGAGGGAAGTTTTTGCCTGGTGCCTAAAGGTAAGTAATGAGCCGCCTAGGAGAAAGCATTCAACAAGTGTGGATTCATCACAAAAAAGGCCTGTTCTCATGTTGCCATCCTCCAGACTTTTTGAGGACGGGGCACATGAAGAAGGGTCTCAGATGATGGTTTCAGGGTCTGGATCCGTTCCTATGGGGAGAGGCAATCCTTGAGTATAGTGGTACTGAGTCACTTCAAGGCCTTATAGGTCAAAACCAGTAGCATGAATTAGATCCAGAAACCGACTGGCAGCCATTGCAGTTGGGCCAGGATTGGTGTTATCTGCCCAAACTGTCTTGCCCCAGTGTGCAAACTGGCTGCTGAATTCTGCACCCACTGAAGTTTCTGAACTGTCTTCAAAGGCATCCCCAGGTGTAACATGTTGCAGGATTGTAACCTATAGATTACCATCATCATCATCTTTTAATTTGTATACCGTCTTTCTATCTTACAATACTCAAGGCAGTTTACAAGCTGAAGAAACAAAGAATGTATACATTCTAATGCAATCTAATAATGCAGTCTAATACATTCTAATTATACAATCTAATGCAATACAAAAATGTGATAATAAAACATAAGTTTAAAATACGCAACCTAAGTAAAATAAAGTAATATTCAATATTCATTAGAATAGTATAGAATAATATTAAATATCAGCATATAAAAATTAAACAGAAATCCACCCTTAACAATTACAATAAATAATTTCTAAACTATAATCAATAAAACAACAGCAAGCCATAGTGCATGAAATAATACAATACAAGTTGAGAAGCAGAGACTGGAGGGTGGGGCAAGGCAGGTGGAAGAAGGCCTTGCCTGATGAAGTCTCTCCCCTCACAGTTCTTCCTCCAGGCACTGCTTCCTTATGAGGACTTCCAGGGCTGGGGGGTGGGGCAAGGCAGATGGAAGAAGACCAGAGCACAGACAACTGAAGTTAGGCTATCCCTGCCCAGATAGGGGCACAGCTGGGCCATCAGTTGAAGCTAATGGAAGACACTCCTCACCACCAAAACTACCGGAGCCTCATGTGACAGCAAAGGATCCAGAAGTACCCCTAAGTGATGTACTTGCTCCTTCAGTGGGAATGTATCCCATGCGGGATAAAATCGAACCTTAAGGAACCCTACATTGAAGGATCCACAGGACCAAATAGCACTTCCCAAGCATCACCATGCAAGTAGGACCAGAACCACTGCAAAGCAGTGCTGCTTAGCCCCAACTCACAGAGCCGCTCCAAAAAGACACCATGGTCAATGGTATCAAAAGTCATTGAGAGGTCCAGGAGAATTAATAGGGACACATTTCCCCTGTCTAGCTCCAACAGAAGTCATCATATCAGGCAACCAAAGCAGCTTCTGTGCCAAAACTGGGCCTAAACCCCAACTGAAGTGGATCTAGAATATCCCTGGGGCATAAACAGGAATTAGTGAATGAATCAATAGTCATGCTGTAACTCAGGCTATGCAATAATGTTTAATCTCCTCCCTTTAGGGAGCAGAACAATGTTGTAAACGTCCAAAGAAAGATATGCAAAGCCATCGAAAAGCCGCTGGTATCATTTCAGCTTTTGCAGTTTTTCTAGACTACTCATTCTTAACTGACTTGCTATAGTGAGAATGATGGAGAGATATACTGCCACTTAGGAGTTGTCTAATTTACACTTACTTGGAAGTAATTCCCATTTAACTTATGGGCTGCAAATTTCTTTTGTCATGTAATTTGAATTTTCCTTTCTGCTCCCGGCAGCTAGATTACATGGATAAGTAGCTCAGGTAACCCCTTGTGCAGAAGTGAAATATATTGCAGGGATCAGGAACTTTCACTCCACAAGACAATCTTATTCTGCCAGGGGAACCAGGTTGGCCCACAAACTTTCTCCAAAGACTCCACCTACTATCCAGCTGAGATTGCAGTTCAGAGAGGCGTTTTCATTGAAAGACTCGGGAAAACAAATCAGCAAGAGGTTTGCATCAGAATCCCTAAGTAACACTAAAGGGAGGGACTTGCTGCAACTGGCAACATGCTTTGAAATCCTCCATTGTTACATCAGGTAATTGACAGGTAGGCGGCCCCACCCTGCTGTTAAATGTGGCCTATGATAATAATAATAATATTTTATTTATATCCCGCCCTCCCCAGCTGAAGCTAACAACAGTAAAGTAATACAGCATTTTAAAATCAATTCATTATAAAATCAGTTCAAATCAAATTGATGGCAACCATTGGGCTAGAGCAGTGGCGTAGCGTGGGTTGTCAGCACCCAGGGCAAGGCAAGTAATTTGCGCCCCCTAACCCAGGTAGGGGCAGAGAGCTGCGAGTGCGAGCGCCCCCCCCCCCCGATGTTGCGCCCGGTGCGGCTGGCCCCCCCTGCACCCCCCACGCTACACCACTGGGCTAGAGTTCTGTGGAGAATTACCAAAGGAGGGGGTCAGGCTGTGCCTTGGCCAAAGGCCTGGTGGAACAGCTCTGTCTTGCAGGCCCTGTGGAAAGATGTCAGAACGTTCCACCAGATCGGAGCCACAGCCAAAAAAGCCCTTGCCGTGGTTGAGGCCAGCCTAGCCTCTCTGTGGCCTGGGACCTCCAGGATATTTTTGTTTGAAGACCGTAAAGTCCTCTGTGAGACATACCAGGGGAGGTGGTTCCGTAGGTACGAGGGTCCTAGGCCATATAGGGCTTTAAAGGTTAAAATTAGCACCTTAAACCTGATCCTGTACTCCACCGGGATGAAACTAATCCTGATAAAAAAACTGTCCTGTGGTGTCAAAAGGATTCCCCAACCCTGTTCTTTTCACAGGGCCATGCAAATGTTACCAGTGACTACATTCAAGACCATGTACTCCCAAATCATAGCCCTTCTTGGCCTGCCTTATGCTACAACACATAGCCTTCACTAGCCTGGAGTCCTCCAGATGTTCTGGACTACAATTCTCATCAACCCCAGCCAGTGTGGCCTGGCTGATGGGAGTTGTAGTCCAAGCAGGTTGGCAAAGGTTGCAGTTGCACTAACAACACCTGGGTTATTTATTAAAAGACATGTCAACAAAATACCACAGAAAATTAATATATGTTCATCTACATACAGAGGAAATATACTTTCAATTAAAAAAAAAATCCACTTGGGGAATGATTATATCTGTTGCTGGTGAAATACTGCTGTTTGGTAACTTTAAAAACCCAAAAATCTTATTTGGCTTTAAATCCTTTAGCATAAAAGCAAAATATATTTGTTAAATACATTTGTTAAATATTCTACCTGACTCCAGTGAAGTATGTTTTGAACCAATGACCCAGCTGGCCAGTGAGATATGTATACTTCGATTTGACTCTGTATGAAAGAGCAAAACGCTTAGCCAAATTTATCACAAAGTGCAACAGCCACTTCACTTCCATTTGGTTTGTTTGAACAAAAGCAGTGCACCAGAGCTCATAATCTGGATATCATGCAAGAATCCTTGTTTAAGTAGTAGTTACATGAACCTCTTTTTGGAGATCAGCTTAACACTCTAAACTAGTTGCCAGTCCCAATATTGTGTTACCAAACAAGAGGGAAATTCGCTTAGAGCAAAGCATGTAACTGCTCCACAAAATAAATTCATTTTTACTTTGTACATTCCAAAATACTTACAGTGCAATCCTATGCACATTTACTAATAATAATAATAATAATAATAATTTTTATTTATACCCCGCCCTCCCCAGCCAAGGCCGGGCTCAGAGCGGCTTACAAGCAATAATAAAAACAAGATGAATGATTACAACTTAAAAACAAAAATAAAATACAACATTAAAATAATGGAACATTAAAATATTAAAATGTAGCCTCATCGCTACATTCTTTTACTAAAAAGTAAATTGTACTGTGTTCAGCCAGGCTTACTCCCAGGTAACTATGCACAGGATTATAGCCCTGACTATAATACTTTTCATTATACAGTACAACTAGGACCAATTCAGACATGACAAATAAGATCCATTGCTGCATTGGGCTACTGCATTGTGTATATTCCTCCTGTGTGACATGAATTCACCCCACCCTGCTCCAATGTCATGTCCAATTGTGTTAGCAAGCATAGTTAAGGGGCACTCCAGGACTATGATTCCCAGCACGCAGACCTAGTGGTGGGAGGAAAAAATCCTTAAATAAGAGACACGGGGGAATGATTAATGGACTTCAATGTCTGTACACTAATGCGCAAAGCATGGGAAATAAACAAGATGAGCTTGAGCTCTTGGTACAGCAAACTAAATATGACATAATAGGCATCACTGAAACCTGGTGGGACAAGTCCCACGATTGGAATGTAATAATGGGTCGGAGTGAAAGAGTATAAACTGAGGGCATTTGCAGATGACCTAGTTTTGACTCTACAGCAGCCAAACACTAGTACAAAAAGAGTTTTAGAACTGATTGAGATATTTGGTCAAGTTGCAGGATTTAAACTGAATAAACAAAAAACTAAAGTGCTGGAGAAAAACCTAACAAATGAGGAAAAAGAGGCATTTCAGAATGAAACAGGTTTGGAGATAGCAAAAAAAGTGAAGTACTTGGGGGTGAACTTGACAGCGAAAAATGTGAACTTATTTAAGGACAATTATGATAAATGTTGGACAGAAGTTAAGAAAGATTTAGACATATGGTCAAGGCTGAAACTTTCCTTGTTAGGCAGAATTGCTGTTATCAAAATGAATGTATTGCCTAGAATGTTATTCCTGTTTCAGACATTACAAATAATAGACAAGATG